TGTAGCATATCTTCATCGGATTCCGAAGATAATATTCCATTGTCTGAATTGGCTAAAAAAAATAGAAAATAAAAAGCTAAAGAAACGAAAAGCGTACAAATGGGTGAAGTATGATCTAACACAAGAAGTTCCAGGAAACTTCGAAGAAATTCTTGAACAAAATAATTCTTCTAAGACTCCACTTGAATGGTTTTCACTTTTTTTTTGACGGCGAACTTATAACACGCATGACAACTGAAACAAATAGATATGCCAGGCAAAAGAATCGCCAACAAGAGATGCAAGAGTATGAAATAAGGGCATTTATTGGAACACTAATATTGAGTGATTATGTCGATGTACCACATAGAAGAATGTTCTGGGAACGTGAAAGGGATGCTAATAATCAACTCGTCACAGAAGCGCTTACACTAGATAAATTTGAGTATATTATGTCAAATTTCCATTTAGTAGATAACTACAATTTACAGCAAGGAGATAAGTTTGCAAAAGTTAGACCTTTATTTGCGAGCCTGAATCAAAATTTATGGAACATGGAATTTTGACAGAAATGCATTAGTGTGGATGAGGCAATGGTTCCTTATTTTGGGACACACTCATGCAAACAGTTCATTCACGGAAAACCTATACGATACGGCTATAAATTATAGGTTGGCGCATCAAGCCTAGGCTACGTTGACTGGGTTGAACCTTACCAAGGGTCGTCAACCCACATTAGTAAGAATTATGCAGATTTGGGGGTTGGTGCTGGTGTGGTATTAGAGTATTCTAAGGCACTGAGGAGAAAATGGCCAAATGAAAAATTTAATCTAGTTTTCGACAATTTTTTCACTTCTATTCCTCTTATGGTAAAATTGACAGAAAAAAATTTCTTTGCGACTGGTACTGCTACAGAAAATCGTTTACAAGGCGTCCAATTCAGAGATTCTAGAATTATGAAAAGGGAAAAAGAGGTAGTTACGATTACAACAAAATTTCCGATACAAACATAATTGCAGTAGAATGGCATGACAATAATTTAGTAAAACTCTGTTAAATGCCGCAGGATTGCAACCAATTCACTTTGTAAAGCGATACTCTCAAAAGGATAAAAAAAGTATTCAGGTAGAAACACAATGTGCAAGAAAATCAATGTTTTCAAAAATGCTTTTGATTATAGGTAGAAGAGTCTCATCTTGTAAATGTATACAACGCAAATATGGGCGGCGCTGATCGTTGTGATCAAAATATTGGTCTGTATCACATTTCCATCCGGGGTAAAAAGTGGTATTTTTCATTGATCAGCCACTGTATTGATATGGCTGTTCATAATTCCTGGCAACTTTATAGATCGCTCCGAGGACATATGGATCAATTATAATTTAGACAGCGGCTTGTCACAGCCTTGTTACAACAAAACAAGAACCCGCCATCTTTTTCTAGAGAACGTCCTTCGGCTAATGGATACATAGATATTCGTTATGATCGTTTAGATCATTTTGTGATACCACAAGAAAAGCCAACTAGATGTGGCTTATGTCATGATAGAGCAAAAACAAGGTGCTTGCACTTAGGTGCAATGTAGGGATGCATGTCCTTCCATACTAAACCTTAATGTTCGCCTAGTGTACCATATTTTGTACAGCATTTTTTACACTTTTTCCTAAAATAAAATTTGAAAAATAATAAATTTGTTTAATATATGCTTCGTATAGAATGATTTTGCAGAGAACATACTTTATTATAATAATTGCCAGACTCCAATTTGGTTAATGAATAGGAAGACGAACTAGAAAACAACGATGAAGAAGAGCTTCCAGTGACAACTAAGGAGGCATTAGACTGCGTGAAAAAGTTGCAACGTTATTTTCAGCAAGAAGGAGACAGTACAGTCGAACTTACCAAATTAAATAAAATTCAACTTGCTGTTCTAAATAATTATACAAAAAACAATCTGTTCAAATGAATATTACCAGCTTTTTTTTACCAAATAATTTAAGGTTTTTACACATACCAACACAGTACGTATGCCTGTAATATGAGTATCAGATTCTGAAAAAATGCAAATTTCAAAATTACGTATAACTTTTTTGTATCTACCTTTATGTAATACATGTTAAACAAACACATTTTAAGCTTTTAATATCTTATTTCTACTGCTTTTTTCATTAAAAAAAGTGTTTCTTTTAAGATGGTCATCCGCCTATAATAGACGCGGTCCATTATAAGCGCGTTGCACTATCTGGAACTTGACTTCGAACCTTTCAGACAATTTGGACTTTTTTTAAATTGCTCCTGTATACGACGACATCATTTTTACCTTGCCACGGTGTCGGTAGTTAGCGACAGCGGTATTATTCTGATAAGCCAGGAAAAATAGCTCTGAAGACGTTACAAATATATACTTTTTTTAGATTATCTCTCTCGGGCAAGTAGTGATACTGTTGTAATAAAACAGCGTCAAGTAGGTTGACTCTGCACTTCACACGCAACGCCGTTATCAGTTCATGAAAGATTACGTTCAGCACAAACATAGACGTGGCAGCGCGCTTAGAGCATAGGAAACACTATGCTGTGACGCGACCAAGGCCTCCGGGAGTAACAGCCGCCTCCGGTAGTTACGCGATGCGTCGGCTGAGACTATTTTAATGGGTGATTTTTTGAGAGGTATAGGATTTGATTTTCAAAAAACACAAAAAATTTGAAAAAACGATTAAATCTTTATTTGAGTCGATAGAACGGTCGATATAATTTAATGTTTAAAGATTATTCTATGTAAATGTTGGCCGCGGCTCCGCTTTAGATGGCCCATGCTCAAGGTCCAATTTTGGCACACTCACGAATAAATGCTTCAATATTGGCTTCCAGTGCGCCAATCGTTGCTGGTTTATCCCTGTAGTCATTAGCCTTAACATGGCCCCACAAGAAATAGTCCAACGGCGTTAAATCACACGATCTAGGCGGCCTATTGACGGGCCCCAAACGTGAGATAAACTGTTCACCGAACTCGCCTCTCAATAGGGCCATTGTTTCGTGTGCGGTCTGGCATGTGGCACCGTCTTGTTGAAACCACATGTCAGCCAAGTCCAGCTCTTCCATTTTGGGCAATAAAAACTTTGTTATCATCGCACGGTAGCGCTCGCCATTCACAGTTACGTTCCGGCCATTGTCGTCTTTGAAGAAGTACGGCCCGATGATGCCACCGGCCCATAATCCACCCCAAACAGTGATTTTTTCGGGATGCATTAGTAGCTCTTGCAATGCTTCTGGCTGGTCTTCACTCCAGATGCGGCAATTTTGTTTGTTAACGTACCCATTCAACCAGAAATGAGCTTCGTCGCTGAACACAATTTTTCGATAAAAATGTGGATCTTCTTCCAACTTTGCCAGCGCCCAATCACCAAATTGGAAACGTTGTGGGAGGTCGTGTGGCTTCAATTCTTGCACCAGCTGTATCTTATAAGATTTTACACCCAAATCCTGTCGCAAAATTTTCCACGTAGTGGAGTAACAGAGGCCCAATTGCTGCGAACGGCGGCGAATCGACATTTCACGGTCATCACTAACACTGGCGGATACAGCCGCAATATTTTCTTCAGTCCTCACTCTACGTCTGCGTGTTGGTGGTTTAATGTCCAATAATGTAAACTGAGTTCGAAATTTAGTCACAAGCTTCCGAATAGCTCCCTCAGTAGCCGACCAAATTGCCCACAAATTGGAAGCAGTGCTCGATGCACTCTCTTAACCGAGCATGAATTCTGATAGTAAAATTCAATAATTTGCAAGCGTTGTTCGTTCGCAAATCGATTCATGGTTAAATTATAGACCAAACTGAACAAGTTTGACAATGACACAAGACACGATTCACGCGTCATCTGTCAAAAACAGTGTTGTCAAAAAGATACTAGCAAAAAAATCACCCATTATATATCTAATAGGTGCATCAGATTATCAAGATTGAGAACGTATAAATGTACTAAACATAAAAAAATTGAGATAAAGCCTCATCTTTTCCAATAATGATCAGTATCCTCTAAAGCGTCAAAAAGCTAAGTTTGTGCGATTTTTATTCTTCCTCGTGTTTGGCTTTTGTCTCTGCCGACACTGAACTTTCAAAAACTACAAAGTTTCTGTGTGCTTAACATACTAGTAACATTGTATGAACAATTCCTAGAAATCCAAACGGTACTTCTCAAAATATAGGCGGTTATAAGATTAGCGGACAGACCGAGAGATAGACAAACCGACGGAAATGAGTGACATGGTTTTTCGTGTTGTAACATCTGCTGGTCGGTTACAGCCGTTTGAATGTTTTCGACTGTCCCAAAATGATTTAGTTCCCTTGAGGTGATTTTTCAAATTCAGGAGAAGAAAGTTACAAGGACTCAAGTAAGCCGAACAAGGACTCTGAAGAGCCACATGAATGTTTTTACTGGCCAAAAACTGGAAGGTTCTTTGGAACCATTTTTGCACAGAGTTTTCTCATCCCCAATTCACTCGACAAAATCTGATACATGGTGCAGAGAGTCAAATTTGTTGCACTGTGCCTAAGTCTGAAGCAAAACTTGATAGCGCGCCGTTGCTTGAAATTGTTGTCGCTCATTTTTAGATCACGATAGAAAAAGCTGTTTCACAAAAAAAATCGCTACGGACAACCAAATGACTCGAGCGAGTTCAAACTTGTACTGAAGGCGGATCACATGTTCCCACGTAGTTCCTCCAATCCCGGCGCCTCCAGTGTTGTCAGATCGATCGCTACGTTGCCAGTCTTAATTTACAGACCTCGTAATATATGAAATATTTTTTTAATTTAGTATGGAAACTACGGGCCAATCTTTCGCAAATCGAATGATTTTTCTTTGGCTTGACAGAAATTTTACAAGAAATCGACTATATTCATCAGATCCATTATCTAAAAAATGCCTTTTACTTGGTTTAGTTTGTGCCCTTAGCCTCAGTTCCACACTTTTCATGAATATTAAACAGTTCTTAGCTACGTTCAAGCATCCCTCCTACTGAATTAACCTTACCTTTTGCTGACGATAGTTTCTTTTGTTTCAGATATTATGGACCGCATTATCAGTAGCCTTAGGTGTAGAATTAAGAGGTGGGTACATTCGCGGAGTACCCTGTATATTACAATTCGACCAGCTATACTGCCCTACAGCTGGAAACTCGTATCCATCGTAAGTATGTATAGTATACTTTTTATCCTATCTAACTTTGTCAGTATCCAGTTGACTTTAATGGGTACATTCAACTCACAGGATCATTCACCAGTTGGTCCAAACATTTTCATATTCGCTTTTTTGAAATTTTACAAAAAAATGCTATCTGATATCACTGGACAACAAATTTTAGTTTTTTAATTGTATCTTGTGGGAAAAGTGCACTTCTTTGTTAATTTTGGGGCGCTGAATCCAAAAATGACAATGAAATAAAAAAATTAGTTGCGGTTTAGAAAAAAACTTTTTATTTTTAAGGATATATTAAAAAAAGTAACAAGATTCATATACTTATAAGAATCACTATATGCGCTGTCTTTTTGCTGTTCTTTTATGGATCGTTTCTGGAGCATCTCTACCAAGAGTCCAACAGTAGTCTGCAAGCATGGAAGGATTCCACTTTCCCTGGTACCTTTTTTCCATTGTTGAAATATCCTGATGAAAAGGTTCGCCGTGCTTTGACTTTGTCTGGTTTCTGGGCAACCAGGACTGACAGATTCGACTAACGTACATCAGACAGTGACTAATGGGCAAAGGTCCTACGGACCGCCCAGACAAATAAATGATGAATAGTAAACGTTCGCCGTGCTCATCACTTACGGCTCCGCAATTGTCAGGAAAAAAGTCCAGGTGTGGGTGTAGGAAATGTATCTTAAGAGACATATTACAGCCCATGATACGATGACAGCATATTTTTGACAAGGGTTTTATAGTTGTCAGCTTTTCTATTTCCCAAGAAATTAGTGACCGCCAGACGGAAATCATTCCAAGCAGTTTTTTCAATACCTGTTAAAGTGTTTTCAAACTGTGTATCTTTCAAAATATTTCGAATCTGTGGCCCAACAAAAATACCTTCTTTAACCTTTGCCTCACTTAGTCTTGGAAATTTCTGACGCAGATATTGAAAAGCTGACCCATCTCTATCTAATGCCTTGACAAAGTTTTTCATTAGGCCCAACTTGATATGCAGTGGTAGTAATAAATTTTTTTTCGAATCTACTAATGGCATATGCTGTACATTTTTTTGACCTTGCTCTAGGAATTGACGAACAGGCCAGTTTTGTCTGGTGTAATGAAGTGCCTTTGCCCGACTGTCCCATTCACACAAAAAACAGCAAAACTTTGTGTAGCCTAGCTGCAGCCCAAGTAAAAGTGCAACAACTTTCAAATCGCCACAAATATGCCATTGGTGCTCATCGTTTTTATGCATGTCAATAGGTACTTCATATTGTCATATGATTCTTTCATGTGAACTGCATACCCTACAGGAAGAGATGGTAAAATATTTCCAATACGCAATAACACTGCCTTTAAACTCAATGTTGAACTGTCTATAAACAATCTCCATTCTTCTGGGTTATAGTTTATATTTAAAGCCGCCAGTAAGCCGTTAATGTTAGTGCACAAAACCAAGTTATTCTCCATATTGAAAAATGTTTTGTCTTTGTGGCGTTTACGAAAAATACATACCGAAACATCGTCTTCTAACAAGTTCCACTGCTGCAGTCGTGATCCAAGTAACTCTGCCTTACATTTTGGAAGTTCTAAATCTCTTACAAGATCATTTAATTCTGACTGTGTTATTTTGTGCGGTTGGTGGCATGACGTGCTCGATATAAAATCAGGATCTCTAGACGTTGATGGCATATCTTCTTCCTGACGAATCACTCGATCGCCATGATCTGATTCGTTTTCTGATTCGCAAGTGTAGGATTCTGGGGGTTTTGGAATAGGATTTTCGTCACTGTGAGGCACAGGTCTCATCGCAGATGGTATGTTTGGGTAGTTAATAACCGATTTTTTTTTCTTGGACATACCTGTGGCTTGTCCAACACAAGGTACCATGCAAAAGTAACAATCATTAATATGATTTGTAGGCTCTCTCCAAACCATTGGGACAGCAAAGCGCATAGACCGTTTTTTGCCATTTAACCAGCTCCTCAGACTTGAAGCACATGTATTACAGCAGATGTGGGGTGCCCACTGTTTGTCTTGATCACCTAGTTTACAACCGAAATAAAGCTGATATGCCTTTGTTATTAGTGGAGTAATAGACCGTCTCTGAGACGCAAAAGTCACATCACCACACACGTAACAAAACTGATCTGGATTGTTTACACACTTTCGAGACATCTTGCATGAACGCTGTCAGCCAACTGAGGAAAAAATGGCTAATATAAAACAATATAATGTACACGTATGTATAACGTAACACAATCATGCCGATTACATCATCTTTCCTTGCCGAATATAAAAATGTAGCACGTGCATTCTTGTGAATTACAGTATATTAACACTGTCACAGCAGGAACACATATAATTACCGTATCTCTAAAACTTGAACTAACATTGAAAAAATAAGTTTCATTCCGGTTTTAGCACATCAAAAATAGTAATATTTTGTTGATTTTATTTACGATATTTTTTGGCTGTTGATCAGTGTATTTAGACAGAAACTCATCTCTTGGGTGAGTTGATTGCCTGGACCCCGAGTCTGACTTCAGAAGACCAGTTTTCGTACTCCACCTATCTTCAAAATCAACGTGCCAAATTACCTCAATCAGTGTACCGAATGTTAAGAAATGTCTTGTACTTTAACAGTTAAATACACGATTATTGGATAAAATTGATTCTTATATCACTGATTTCTAATGTTATTTTAGTGCTGAGATTGACAAGAGCCCCCAAAATTACCCCATTGTATCGAACTTCATTAGTTTGTAGCTTTTGTAACGAAAACACCGTTTCTACAATTTAAAGTCTAGTTTATCACTTGACTGAAATGTATAACTATGTCGACTGGACTATAGCATGTTGACTCATGGGTCGCTGTCCGTTCACTGTACCGCTTCCGCCACCTGTTCGGGTATTTATCTTCAATCGATCAATTATAGAAACACGCTCCGCATCTTCTCGATATTGGGATATTGTTTCCTGAGATATTTATGATCAAAGCTAAAATGGTACTTTTCCGACAAAATATCTCAGCGAAACATGGTCGTATCGAGATTTTTAGAAAATCATTTTGAAGCCAAATAAACAGGCATTAAGTCCATACAATGATCTAGCGGATAAACTTTTTCTAAGTCTGTGGACCAAAATATAGATATAAAAATTTTTCAATTTTTTGTATTTACACGTTCTCCTATGATGCAGCCTGAGAAGTTTTTTTACTGAAAGATCCAAAAACTAGACTTTTGATGCTGTAAAATGCTTCCTTAGGACCTAAATATGACATTTTTTTAGTGAGATAAAGCTCTTCAAAAAATCATTTAAAATCTACAATTTTTATTTGATCCCTTAATTTTTTCCCTTAACAACAATGGAATATCAGTAAATACAGAGTCGATAAGACTAGGAATCAGCTTTAGAGGAGAGTTCCCCTTTAAGGCACTATTTTTCTACTTTCCCGTTTTTTCCCAGAGACCGCATCGACATGTTCATCGACGAAAACAAAGCCCTAATGAAGCGCATGTACGGCGAGTTCGACATGCCAGACTACACCGGAGCCGGTCCCGGACCCGGACCAGGCCCCGGAGTCAAAGCGAAGCGCAGCGCAGGGAAACCCGGGGTGCCGGACGTGCATTTGGACCCTGGGCCTGACCCCGTGCGCGCCGCACATGAGACGCTGCTGGGCGTGGGCAAATCCAGGACCACCAGGCAGAACTTCAGGAGTAATCAGAGCTCGGAGAGCGGCAGGTAAAGCATGACAATTTTCGAAAAAAATACAGCTTTCTTCCTAAGCAATGGATGTGATTATAATGATATGATGGGGTAATATTTTATAAAACGCTGCTTAATCTAGTGATATTTAGAATAAGGAACACATGGTTAGGCAATATTTTTATTTAATTCACAATAGGTGTTCAAATAGGTTGTCATTATTTTCTAAACACAAATATGATATTCTAACAGTAGAACTCAAAACTTCACGTGTCGTTTCTGGTGCAATCATACTAAATGCTTGTAATACACATGCTCGAAAGAGAGAAAGATACTCTAGAACCCTAAGAAAATTGACCTACTTGACTGCTTTCTTTCTGGAAATTTATCAAAATACATTTCTGCAGTATGTTTAATGTCTTTGTAGCACGAATTTTTCTTCATTGCTACAATTTTTGACCATAATAAAGCAATATTAACAAAAATGTATATCAAGTCAAGCATTTTTTGCAACGCCTAATTAAAAAAATAAATAAAAAAAGCAGAAAAACGCTTTCTTCCACATAACCAAAAAAAAAATAAATGCAATATGAGATATATCGTTAAATTTATATAAAAAAATGATACTAGAAACAGGGTGTGCTTTTTTTCGTACCATATAAAAATAAAGTTGATGATATTTTCTTAAAAACGAACAGTCGGGCAAACAATTTAAAACGCCATCATGTAATGCCTAAAAAGCGGCAACGGAAAAGTTTAATTAGCTTTTTAATATCCCTTAAAACAAAATCAGAAAAAATAAAAATGATTTGAGTTTTTCCCAAATACCTCAGTAAGCCATGAAATTTCGACGTGCTTTCTTGATTATATCTCGCGAAAAATCTGGCAACGCTGGACTCGAAAGCAGTGCAATGGTGCTGACAGTCTCAGTGCTCTAAAATTATATATATATATATATATATACCTTGGGAAAAAACATTATTATACATTATGATGAGGAAGAGAGATGGAAATATACAAAAGTATGTAGGTGCGTGAAAGACACTCGATTGTAGGATCCTATGTGGCAGCGTCGGAGTGTGACGGACAACGGGGTAAAGTAGAAGAGTGATAAAAGAGAGAGATGGCAGAACGGGCGCTGGCGCATACCGCTTAGACGGGTGCGCTCAACAAATGCGATTTGTTTCTCCCATTCGCAGAGTTGCCGATACCAATATGTCATATTTCTAAGAAATCTAAGTCTACCCAAATTTCGGGAAAAATAGCTGCGGATTCCACATAAGAGTATTCCAAAAATGAAAAAAGTTCACACTATTAAAATTGTATTAATGTTTCATGGTTCAAATCATATTTTTCATGCTTGTATATTGTTGTATAAATGATTTTGTAATCCCTATTCTTGTTGCCAGTAGAGATACAACAGTATTGAGAGAAATCATGGACCGCTAGATAGGGCTACAACTACCATATGACTATCAAATAGTAGTGATAAACAGGGTTTGTTTATAGCACAGTTGCCTGGTGTGGAGAATTTGCGCCATAGGGGCGATTTGACAACTTTGAAGGACAACTATAACGGTTACTATGTTGCCCGGTATTCGGGAATCTGGCAATACCTGATGATTCCTAACGTTTATTACGCCAGATTGTTTGCTGACTTGCGCAGTACAACATGACAATCAACGTGACTGAGCACCTGGTAACCCTGGTTTAAGGTGTTATATTTAAAGAGCTTGGGGCAGTTAGGTATCTAGGTCACATTTTTTAGAGAAATCCGTAATATTGAGTAAATGCTAGATCACGATACTTGCTTAGTTTGCTGAAAATTATACAACAGACGTACATTTTGAGAAACAGAGATTTGGTGACGACAAAATCGTAAAAATATAACGCATTTTCGTAAAATAATTTCTTTGGTGAAAAGACTGTGGCTTGATGACCCATTGAACGAGTATAGTGTCCCGCTCCACTTTGAATATTCGAAACACTATACTCCAGAAGCATTCAGCTTCAATGTTATCTTTATGAAGTTCTAACGTCTAGGCCATGTTGATTAAAAGCTTGAATGAATCAACACTTAACTCTAAATTCCCCACAATTCGGGAAGCTCTACTCAAATTGGCAACACAGCGTATCTGCCTATTATTCTCATTCGTGATACAGGTCTGCGGTTAACGGTAGGAAATATGTACGAATAGCGATGAAAGTAGACGAGCCGTTGCGCTGTTGCCAAGAAATGATTTCCCATGTATAACAATGGTTTTTCCTAAGGTGTATAACTAACACATTACAGTCATCTTGTTTACTTACATATCGGCCATTGTGAATTTCATACACAGGTATATGATAAACTTCTACACTGTGATATAGGGCTATTGAATTACTTGCGCAGCAAATTTTATTGTGATTATCCTGCAAATTAGTTACCCAATTTCTACGGGCTTCGTATTTGATTCATATTTTGACAATGATCAAAAGTATGTCTAGATGTTGAAGATGGAAAACTGAACTTATCTGCGTTAAATCTTCCACAAATCCTATATTTAGACACAATTACACTAATGTTTATCTCTTTATATCTGTAATTTCGAACTGAAACATAATTATTTAATATTAAATAGAGGAATAAATGTTTGCCGAATATGGCGGGTGGTTGTGTACAATCATGGCATCGTCCATGTTGTCTTTAGGTTATTAGAATATTTTGGTGTTGCCTGCGGGTGTTATACAACAATTTGACAAATGTCTGAAATGAAATACCGATAGAGTCGAATGATTTACCCAGAATTTCTACCAGATCTATATCTTCTGTCTGAACAGTTGATAAAACCTTTTGAACCAATATGCATTCGTTGTTTGTCTTAAAACATTGGTTATGGCATTTTACAAAAATATGACAGCAGAAAGTTAGGTTATGGTGGAGTTGTTTACCAACATATTTAGCATATATTTATATAAGTTGTATAAAAGCTTCCGTTGGGAGCAATTTTTTGGCTAAAGTAGTAAATTGCACAGCAAAACAACAAGGCTCGGGTTTGTTTTATAAACGTTACCATGGATGCCGCAACACAACAATTTTGACTGACGTGCAAATATGCCCCATAAAATAGTTGTATAAACGTTTATCCAACAGTTAAAAATTTGCACTATAAGATGTTGTATAACTATGCTATAATAATATTTTAAACACCTCATTTTAGAGCAAATATGTTGCAGAAAGCAAATTTGCATTCCACACAACATTAAGCCAGCATTTTGGTGTTCAGGCAACAACAATAGAGAGCTTTTATGGCTGAACGGTACTTTTACCAAAAGCGTATACCACTACTTAGCTAGTTGGGAAATTTCTGCAGTATTTTTGATATTTTTGTAGCACAAACTGTAACAGGTCAGCATGTCGAACTTTTCTTCATTGCTACAATTTTTGACGATAACAAAGCAATATTAACAAAAATGTATGTCAAGTCAAGCATTTTTTGCAACGCCTAATTAAAAAAATAAATAAAAAAGCAGAAAAAAAACACTTTCTTCCACATAACCAAAAAAAAATAAATGTAACATGTGATATATCGTTAAATTCGTATAAAAAAACGATACTAGAAACAGGGTGTGCTTTTTTTCGTACCATATAAAAATAAACTTGATGATATTTTCTTAAAAACGAACAGTCGGGAAAAAATTTTTAAACGACATCATATAATGCCTAAAAAGTAGCAACGGAAAAGTTTAATTAGCTTTTTAATATCCCTTAAAACAAAATCAGAAAAAATAAAAATGATTTGAGTTTTTCCCAAATACCTCAGTAAGCCATGAAATTTCGACGTGCTTTCTCGATTATATCTCGCGAAAAATCTGGCAACGCTGGACTCGAAAGCACTGCAATGGTGCTGACAGTCTCAATGATCTAAAATTATATATATACAGGGTGTTTCAGTTTATTGTTGCATAACTTTAAGATTCGATAGAACTTTTAAAATCAATGCATAAAGTTTATATAAACATGGGTCGAAAAATCCGAGGCTTCCGAAATACAGGGTGTTTAAATTTACTTTCTAAAATAGTTTTTTTTAAATATTTCGAACAATATTTGATGTATAATAGTGAAAATTGGTATACAAGGGTACAAGGGTTTTTTGGTACGCCAAAACGAACCATGGGCATAGTTTTACTGTAGCCGCTAGAGGGCGCTCTCTACTGTACCTGTAGTGTATTAAAATGACCGACAAATTTTTCTTAGTGCAATTTTTTGCTTTTTGAATAAAAAAAGTGATTCTTCGCACTTTTCAACATAAAAAAGCTCTCCTGTCAGTTTTCGTTATAGTTAGGCGTTTTTGAGATATTTCGATTTTTAAGGTTCGATGCATTTTTAATTATTTATGATAAAATAACGTTAAAAAGTCATTATATGATAAAATAACGTTAAAAAGTCAGTATCTCGATAATTTTTAGAAGTAGGCTGAGCCTGCAAATATTTTTGGTTGACTGTTAGTTTTGTTGTCTGTTGAAACCTGAAACGTTTTTTTGCAATTGTGAATGCACGAAATTTAGTTCCTTTTACCTGTTTTTTTTTTGTTAGTTTTATAAAAATGCCATTTTTATTGTCCAATCAAGAGTTAGCGGATATTCATTTTGTGTATAGCTTTGTAAATGGAAACGCAGCAGCAGCAGCCAGAGAATACCCGCGAAGATTTCCAAACAGACGACATCCAACTCGCTCAGTATTTGTAAGAGTGCATCGCCAAATAATTGAAAATGGTTTTGGAAATCTCCAAAGGGATCAAAACATAAATGTTCGTCAGCGCAGATTTACCCGTATGATTCTGCGTGAGTTTGATAGAGATCCGACCACAAGTGTTAGGAGAGTTTCTGGTGCCTTGGGAATTTCAGCAAGCCATGTTCACCGTGTTCTTAGAAATGACCATAGACGTCCTTACCATTTGCAACCTGTGCAAGGACTACAGCCAGGGGACGGAGAATGAAGAGTCACATTTTGTCAGTGGATTCTTGATAGAACTTATAATAATAGGGAGTTTTTAAGTAACGTTTTATGGACCGATGAGTCATGCTTCACTAGACATGGAGTGGTAAATTTTCATAATCTACATATTTGGTCGCATGAAAATCCGCATGCAGTTCGGGAAAGAAATTTTCAGCATGAATTTAGTGTGAACGTGTGGATTGGTATCTACCGTAATTGACTATTTGGACCCTACCTTTTGCCTGCAAGGTTAAATGCTGCGACCTTCCTGGAATTTTTAAAAGCTGAACATGCAAATATGTGGGATGATGTTATGTTAGATTTAAGAAGATTGGCCTGGTTCCAGCTTGATGGTTGTCCAGCTCATTAGTCGCCTGGCCTCCACGATCTCCTGACCTAAATCCATTAGATTTCTTTGTGTGGGGATTTCTAAAAGAAAAAGTGTACCAGACTCCCGTAACGACAAGAGATATGCTAATAGACAGAATCAGGAATGCATGTGATGAAATAAGGCCTTATTTGAATAATGCTATACCACGTTCGATCATTCGTAGATGTGAATTGTGTATTGAACAATTGGGTTTACATTTCGAGCAACTACTTTAGATTTTGTATGTTTGTCCTAACTATCCAATAGCATTTTAGTTGTAAATAATTAATTTAATTTGTTAAAAATAATATTGGAAAATTAAACAAATTAATATTCTGTTTTTTGTGTTTATTTGGAGTTAGGAATTATTGCTGTGTTGAAAAACACAATCTAAATGATCATCTTAATTACTTGTAATGCCCAAATCAAAAATGTAAAAAAAAATATTATTTTCCCATAAATAATTAAAAATGCATCGAACCTTAAAAATCGAAATATCTCAAAAACGGCTAACTATAACGAAAATTCACTTGAGAGCTTTTTTATGTTGAAAAGTGCGAAGAATCAGATTTTTTATTCAAAAAGCAAAAATTACACTAAGAAAAATTTTCGGTCATTTTAATACATTACAGGTACAGTAGAGAGCGCCCTCTAGCGACTACAGTAAAACTATGCCCATGGTTCGTTTTGTCGTACCAAAAAACCCTTGTATACCCATTTTCACTGTTATACATCAAATATTGTTCGAAATATTTAAAAACAAAACTCCTGTATTTCGGAAGCCACGCATTTTTCGACCCATGTTTATATAGACTGTATGCATTAATTTTAAAAGTTCTATCGAATCTTAAAGTTATGCAACAATAAACTGAAACACCCTGTATGTATATATACATATTAAATACTCAGAAATTTCAAAAAACGCAATATCCCGCCGCCACTGGACTCATTTTCAAAAATTACCAAGCTTCTTCGTCTTGGGCATACTAATCACGTTGTAAGTAAATTTCGTCATACTCCGCGCGGTACTTTGCAAGTTATAGACGGGCCAAGTAATGAACAAGATGAAGAAATGAGTAAAATGGTTTTTCGTAATAACTTCTAAATCTAATTTCTAAATTTTTTGCGGTGTCAATACCTCCTCGCCAGTGGCTTGGGAGGTAGAACTCAAATGTAAAGCAGCTTCTTAGCCGACAAAAACTGTTCGACATAATTGCCTTCAAGCAGAGTACCATGTTCAAATCTGCAAAAATCAGATGACATCGGCGCCTCTGAGCGAGAGACAAGGACGACCCGCACATAGGCGTCTCGTCATTACTGAGGGGAGTACTGAGTACTCACCATGCTGCCAGCATTGGCGTGCTATTTTGCATAAACTGAACACGGTATAATACGTTAATCAATGATCACACCCTTTATATTTTTAGATTGGACTCCTGTGAAAGCAAGATTGAAATAGTCACACCATACTGGGCCTCGAATTCTGCCGGAAAGATCAGGGCCATAGTCAATACACAACATTTCGAACAAGCCATACACCAAGAAGTTTGCACGTGAGTATTCAGTTGATCCGCCATTTTGATTTTGTTATCAACGACCTTGAAAACATCTAAAACTCAAATTTATTTGAACGCAATCAAAACATTTTCCGCCATATTGACTTTGGTAAATCGATACCATATCCATTATCAGCAACTTGGAAAACGTGAAAATGAAGTTTTTTTTTGTGAAATTTAGTGAACCTTCCTAATTTCGGTCATGTTCTAGAAATTTGTCTGACGGCTTGAGTTCAATGTGTACGAGAGAGAAATGTGTATAGAAACATATGTTAGAAAGAGATAGAAGCCGGCTGAATAGCGATGCTCATCACAGCGTTGCCTAGCAACGCTAATGCGGCAATGTTACACCAATTCCTTGAATGAAGGTGCATGTTGAAAATATGCGTTAGTTTATCCTCTGCGCCCAAATAATGGTTTTATTTTGAGGTTCACACTTTTGATTCGTGAATTGGTGTCGAATCTGTTTAAAATCGTTTCCCGGTCGGTCCTAACGGCGCTCCATTTTAGGTCGAAATGAAATGTCAGGATTCTCACAAATTCTGCAACATTGCATTATTGGTTCGCTTGGCAACACCGCATCTCGTATATTCCAAGGCAAGGTTTCCACCTCCATGAAAATAAATTTGGTCAGTACCTATCTAGCGCTCTTTTTTGAGTGTCGTCCCGCTTCGAAATGGTTTTCACCTGCGTACACGCAGGCTGTGATATTTTGCATTGCATAATGGTACTTTTTATATCTTGCGACAGCGACAGAATGTGTTGATTTTATCACCATCGGTGGAAATCAAAGATAATTCTAAAATAAAACCCCACATCAAAGTTGAAATAAATAATTCGAATCAAAATAAAACTAAATGTTCGAACAGACCTCCTTCTTGCGTTTAACAGTAACCTTACCTATTGTAGAAGCCTGCTAGGCAATGTGGTGATGTGTTGATACACACGTCTCCTGCTTCTCTCTAGTACACATTAAACCCAAGCCAAATTTGTATGTATACTAAGTGACATATAAATCCGAACACCTAGTTTAAATGGTTTTATTTTAATAAAATTTTGTATAAGTACTTAATGAAACATAATAAGTAAATGATAAAAATTTCAAAATAATGCACTGCTTTAAAGCCCTTTGACCTTTAATAATGTGTGTATGCACCCTGATGTGCTACGCATTCTCCAACGCGCCTAGGCATGCTTCGGATCAGGTGGTCAATGTCCTCCTGTGGTATCTCATTCCAGGCAACCACCAACTCCTCTCGAAGTGCTTCTAGAGTCTGAGGAGGACGTTGCAAATTGAGCAATCTCCTACACATCATATCCCACATGTGCTCAATTGGGGATAAGTCGGGAGATCTTGGTGGCAATGGTAACAATGTGACATCATTATGTTGTACGAAGTCTATTGTGACTCTTGCAACATGTGGTCGGGCATTATCTTGTTGGAAAGTTGGATCTGCCAGATAGGGTAAAAGATGGGGTTCTAGAACTTCGTGGATATAACGCTGCGCGTTCATGTTACCTCTGATGCAGATTTAAGGTGACCTGGAACCATAAGCTATAGCACCTCAAACCATAACTCCAACAGTGTGATGAACATGTCTTTCAACAAAAAACTGTGGATTCCTCCTTTCACCACGTCGCCTTCTAACCCTGGCACGACCATCGTGCATGCCTAAACAAAATCGAGACTCGTCACTAAAGACAATACTGTTTCATTCCTGATCCCAGAGTGACCGTTGTCTGTACCACTCAAGGCGATTACGTCGGTGTTCTCGAGTTAAACGGAGGACCCAGTGTGACCGGTATGAAAACAAGCCAAAACTTCTCATTCGTCGGTAAACACTTCGCATGCCAATAGGTCTTCCGTGTTCTGCAAACCATTCATTTGCAATGGACCTGGTAGTGGAGAAACGGTCTCTTAAGGCCAATAATCTTAGGCGACGATCTTCACGGTCTGTTGTTCTACGGCGGCGTCCTAACTGCAATTGCCCGAAAAGAAAGTCCAGCTTCCCGAAGTCCCACTATACGGCCCCTATCAAACTCACTAAGTTGACGAAATCGTACAGGTCTCCGTGCTCTAGGCATCGTAACCAATCGTAAAGGATGTCAAGAACCAAAATCCGCCAACGTTGATTCTTTACTGCGGCTGAAATATTCATTTTTAGAGCGTTAGTGAATTAAAAAAAGCAGTATAAAAACCGGAATGTCCAACTGATAAGGCTGAAAATTTTTTCACTTGTTATTTACAGTAAGATAAATACATTCACCAACTTTTATTAAAATAAAACCATTTAAACTGGGTGTTCGGATTTATATGTCACTTAGTATATATCCGTATCCTCTCGGTATCTTTGGCTCTTATTTTACTGCGCACTATTATTGCAGGAAGACGGCTACCAAGAGGTGTTCTGGAGACTGTGGCTGCGAACAGAAATACAAATGGCACAGGTTGCTCGCTTACGATCCTGATAATGATTGTAAAGGTATTTTTATGGATTGGTTCCTGTTTCCTTCGTGCTGCGTCTGTAGATGTAATCCTAATTGATACACGCCAATGTTACCCAAAAGATACGTTAGATAAATCGATATGATAGTTTTAACTAGGAATCTTCAAAAGTTCCGTTCCACAAGGAGACAGTCAACAAATAATCTGATCGTTATTATATATTTTCTAAATTTGAATTCGAATATTTCACTGTGTCAGATTTTCTGCATGACTCTCTAAGGTTTGGTTTTCTGTTATGATCTCCTGTCACTCTCTCCGTGTGGCATATTGCTTTTAAATAAGTTTTCATCCTGCGAAACAGACTGTTTTGAATGAATTTCCTGAAACAAAAGAATATTTTTTTACAAAATCGTCCATTTAAATTGCGGGCAATTTTGAAAACACGTCTCATCGATTTATCTAGTTTTGCATTTTTAAATGTATTCCAAATCAGGAATGTGTACTGATCGAATTGTGAAAATAAACAGATACAATGGTATAATGATATAATGCTAGACGGTAATGTAGTTGAGATTATTTTATACATTATTATTTGTGGTACATCTTAAGCAATTTTGTTAGTTAAAATGTAATTGTATGTAGCCAAAGATTTATAATTACCTTAATATAAATAGTCCAGGATTATGAACTAGGCTTGAAATTTGCAGATCACATAAAAACCAAGAGGATAACTCACCTTTACAACTTAAAAGCAAGTTACACCTACTATATGAAATGTTTGTGTTGTTTCTGATAATGGATTCTTTCAATTTTTATGAAATTTATTTTCATCAGTGAAAACCATATATAAAACAACAGTAAATCTTAAAAAGTAGTTATTAAACGACTGACGAGAAAAATAGTAAAAACTTGAAGTAAACACTTTAAAGTTGTAATCGATTAACATCCTGGACTATTAAAAAAACTAGAGAATCTTACCGTAAAATATTACCCATCTTTTTATTAATACATACTTTCTTGTGCTTTGACAACCATATGCCGAAAATACTACAGGAAATTTTATATTCTTAATTATTCATTTTTTGTATCCGGAATTCTTGATAGAGAACACAAACTAACCCAGAACGTATCAAGAATAATGTATCACTTCTTTAAGTATTAATTTTTTTGGAACATACATAATATATAAATTATGAATGCAGCTAGCACCTAAGAATATGATAGCACTTTCACTGTGTTTGCAAGGTGATTTTCTCATGAGCATAATAATTGTATGTATGTTTATTCACTGTAGTAAAAGTAGATTTAACTTAAAATTTAGCAAAATGTTTGTAGATATTAGTAATTTTATAAAAAAGTTAGTTTTTATCAGAAAATACACATAGACTGTATTGGTTCGACTTTGGCCGTTGTCAAAATTTTAATCCTCAAATGAAATCAACTCAAATAATTGCATAGTATTAAATCAATGTAAATAGCGCAATAAGTGATTAAAATAATCAACTTTGCATAACTTTGTTCGTTACCATTAGATAGTGTAGCTATTTCAGTATTTCGTCACACAGACACACAGTTACCATTCCTTAAAAATCATTGTATTCATATAGTGAGAATTTTCACTAATATACGCTGCCATGTTTGTGTGTGTCTAATAAATTACTTTGCATAAACTTCGTACGTTTCTTTACTTTTACTCCTACATTCCCATACTCCCAAAATATGTGATGCTATCGGATAGATGGTGAAATTAACGTTGCAACTTTATTTGAGCAACACCTCTACACAAGAGTGATGGGTCATTGGCTGAATTAAAGAGTATAGTCTGCGTCCTTGCGTCCATTGACGCTTGCTGAACGGATTTCAGCAGCCCTAGGTAGTCATTCAAAACGCTGGACTTTGTGGTGTCTACCGATATGCAGCGCCATCTATCGAAGAATAGCCTAATAAAAAGAATATATCCATCCGTATATCTCTAAATAATTCACTAAATAAAACGGTTTTTATTTTTATTTTTTGAAAACAAGTGAGGTACGAAAAAAATACGAGAGGCAAAGAACTTCATGCTTAATTAAACAACAAATATTAAAGTTACAAAAATGGCAGTGGCGTACATTTTCTGCCAATAATATTCGCTAAGGTGCCCCCAGGACGCCTAATAATTTTAATGTATTAAGGGCTAAATTAGCTTCTTAATACAACTAATAATATTGCCCAAAAATTCAATATCCAACCGATATATTTAAAAATAAATATATCGGTCATCTCTACTCCCTCTACTCCTACTGAGCGAGGGCCGTGCCAAATGCTTGTTCCGGAAGTTGTTGTATCCAGTATACAACTTCTTCCCGTCCAAGTGATTGTGCACGCGTTAAGGAATTCCTCAGTACCGATTGCCGGGTGGCGGTACAAGTCCGCCAACGGGCCACTTTAGGTCTATTTAACATCACTAATACGTGAAAAGAAGGTGGTAGACAAGGACCAGTCGACCGAGGCAGTACCACCCGCTAGCTTTTCCCAGGGTGTCTTATAAATGTCCGCATGTTTCCACACCTAAGCTATGCAGTCAGTTATCTACCAAAACAAAGAAATTAATGATGATGGATCCCTCGAGCACTAAAAACTCCGGACGTAAACTCACTCCACTCTCGGAATGTCCGGGTGGAGGGTGGGCTCGAGGGAACAACATCGAAGATAAAATTTGTTTTTCGAACATCTGCGGGATCAACAGCAACATTGATGCTGTTCATCACTACCTGCAATCCAATCGTCCCGCCGTGCTTTTCTTGGCGGAGACAAAAATCTCAGAGGCTGCACCGATTAACCATCTCAACTTCCCAAACTACGAGGTGCACTCCAATCTGAGAAAGAACGGGGGAGTTGTGGCTTTTGTCCGCAGCAGTCTTTCCTGCTCCAGGGATCTTTCTTTGGAATCAGACCGGAAGGACATTCTGTGGCTTCGCCTCAACTCCAAAACATCACCCAAATTTATTTGCTGCCTTTATCGCTCTCCCTCGAACCATAACTGGGATGACCTACTCGAATACCTCGCCGTCCAGATCGACTTCCTGAACATCAATCACCCCGCTTCAGAGGTAGTTCTTCTCGGTAATTTCAATGCCCATAATGAGCTTTGGTTGGGCTCAAATAAGACCGATGCAGCAGGTCGTGCAGTCGAAGCGTTCGCTCTTACTCAAGGGCTGACCCAACTGGTGACAAGCCCTACTTCTTTCCCCCGCGTCTCGTCACACGCCAGTAGCCTGCTGGATCTCTTTTTGACGACGCATCCTGCCCCTTACAGCACTGCTGTCTTGTCCCCCCTGGGTAACTCAGATCACGGTGTTGTGGAGGTTAGGTTTCGGTCAGAAGCCGCTGTGGCAGCAGAAACTCGCACAGGCCGCAAAACTTGGCATTACGGACATGCCGACTGGGAGGGGCTCAGAGACTTCTTCTCTGGCTTTCCTTGGAGAGATGTCTGTTTCACTGACGCGGATGCGTCGACTGTCTGTTCTTCAATAACCGAAATTATCCACGTCGGAATGGAGGAATACATCCCTCACACAGTGAAAGTTCCTAAACCAGGGTCCAACGGCTGGTTCAACAAATCGTGTGACACTGCTCGCCAGCAGAAGATCAAGGCCCACAGAACCTACTTACAAAACCCCACTGTAGCGAACAGACAAGCCGACGTCGAGTCCAGAAACAAATATAACGAAGCGGTTCGCAATGCCAAAAACCAGCATGATATAAAAGTTAGGCACAGGGTAATGTCGCAGCGCAATGGCAGTCGGTCTTTCTGGACGCTGGCCAAGCAGATTGAAAAGAACTTCTCACACAGTAGCCTTCCACCACTTACGTGTCAGGATGGAACTATTGTATTCGACTCAAAGGCCAATGCGGAAGTGCTAGCCAAGATCTTTGCTGCCAACTCCACCATGGACGTCCCCACCAACGCCCAAGTGCCGTCAATCCAAAGGGTTCCCCACACTATGCGGGAGGCAACATTCAGGCATAAGACCGTAAGACAAGTGCTCTTGTCGCTCGACATCAACAAAGCTTCTGGTCCTGCCATTCTACTGAAGAGATGTGCAGCGGAGCTTGCTCTAGTTCTTTCGCGTCTCTTCCAGATATCTTATGAATCCGGCACCTTCCCAGAAAACTGGAAATTTGCTCATGTACAGCCCATCCCAAAAAAAGGATCTAAAACCGACCCTTACAACTACAGGCCTATAGCTCTGCTTTCTGTTATAAGTAAAGTGATGGAGAGGTGCATAAATCGCGAGCTTCTAGACTACCTCGAACGTTAGCGAGAGGCAGTACGGTTTCCGGCACCAACGATCCACAGGGGACCTCCTAGCTTACATCACGCAACTGTGGAGTAAGCTCATCCAGTCTCATGGTGAGGCTCATGTCGTTGCTCTTGACATCACGAAAGCGTTCGATCAGCTGTGGCACGCTGCCCTCTTAAGCAAACTTCCATCCTACGGCCTCCCAGAAAAGCTTTGCAGATGGGTGGCTGACTTTATCTCTGGCCGCAAGATATCCGTCGTAATTGACGGATTCTCCTCTTCATCCCACAACGTCAACGCGGGTGTTCCCCAGGGATCGGTCTTGGCTCCAACACTGTTTCTCTTACATATCAACGACCTCCTTTCCTGCACGATCAACCCAATCCACAGCTTCGCTGATGACAGCACTCTACATGCAGGAATTCAGAGTGACAAGCCGATATCTGCCGCTGAGCTGGAAAAAAGAAGACTAGCGACGACTTCTTCTCTGACAAGAAACCTGGAGGCTATCACTGCTTGGGGACGCAACAATCTTGTACAGTTCAATGCTTCCAAAACCCAGTACTGTACTTTGACGAACAAAAAACGTCCTAGCGCTCATACAGTTTCGATGGGCGGTCGAGTTCTACCAAAGAGTCATTTCGGCTGGTCGGAGTCCAGATCACCGAGGACCTGATCTGGCACGAACACATCTCTTCAATAGCTGCAGCTGCTGGGAAAAAGCTAGGCTATTTGTTTAGGGCTAAGAAGTACTTTTCTCCGTATGACCTTCTCACTCTATACAAGGCCCAGATAAGGCCTAGCCTCGAGTATTGCTCACACATTTGGGGTGCTGCCGCCCCGACTACATTGTCCATGCTCGATGCTGTCCAGAGGAGGGCGGTCCGAGTGATCGATGACTCTTCTCTAACAGACCGTCTCGGGACTCTTTCGCACCGGCGGGCCGTCGGCGATCTAGCTCTTTTCTATCGCTACACCAACGGGCTTTGCTCCTCAGAGCTCTCTTCCATGATGCCGCCGCGCGATGTGCCTGCCAGACAGACCCGCCTGACTTCGGCATCCCATCCTAACTCTGTCAAACTTCGGACATCCAGAACTGGCCGATACGACCGCTCCTTTGTCCCGAGGGTGTCTAGATTGTGGAACAATCTACGGGAGGAAGCTTTTCCCAGTTCTACTAATCTTAGGCAGTTCAAAAATCGTATTAACAAAATTTCTTTGGGATCATCATAGCAGCCGCGGTGTTCCGGCATTTAGGCTTCTGCCTGCGCGGCTGTTTCGAGTACTTAATGAAGCATAATAAGTAAATGATAAAAATTTCAAAATGATTGCACTGCTTTAAAGCCCTTTGACCTTTAATAATGTGTGGATGCACCCTGATGTGCTACGCATTCTCCAACGCGCCCAGGCCATCGGGTGGTCAATGTCCTCCTGTGGTATCTCATTCCAGGCAAGCACCAACTCCTCTCGAAGTGCTTCTAGAGTCTGAGAAGGACGTTGCAAATTGAGCAATCTCCTACCCATCATATCCCACACGTGCTCAATTGGGGATAAGTCGGGAGATCTTGGTGGCCATGGTAACAATGTGCCATCATTATGTTGAAAGAAGTCTATTGTGACTCTTGCAACATGTGGTCGGGCATTATCTTGTTGGAAAGTTGGATTTGCCAGGGTGTCAAGATAGGGTAAAAGATGGGTTCTAGAACTTCGTGGATATAAAGCTGCGCGTTCATGTTACCTCTGATGAAGATTATAGGTGACCTGGAACCATAAGCTATAGCACCCCAAACCATAACTCCAACAGTGTGATGAACATGTCTTTCAACAAAAAACTGTGGATTCCTCCTTTCACCACGTCGCCTTCTAACCCTGGCACGACCATCGTGCATGCCTAAACAAAATCGAGACTCGTCACTAAAGACAATACTGTTCCATTCCTGATCCCAGAGTGACCGTTGTCTGCACCATTCAAGGCGATTACGTCGGTGTTCTCGAGTTAAAGGGAGGACCCAGTGTGGCCGGTATGAAAACAAGCCAAAACTTCTCATTCGTCGGTAAACACCATTCATTTGCAATGGACCTGGTAGTGGAGAAACGGTCCCTTAAGGCCAATAATCTTAGCCGGCGATCTTCACGGTCTGTTGTTCTACGGCGGCGTCCAGTGCCCCTTGCTCTTTGCGTACGGCCTTCTCGAAGTCATCCCTGACAACACCTAACCACAGTGTCTACACTTCTTTGCACTCTAACTGCAATTGCCCGAAAAAAAAGTCCAGCTTCCCGAAGTCCCACTATACGGCCCCTATCAAACTCACTAAGTTGACGAAATCGTACAGGTCTCCGTACTCTAGGCATCGTAACCGATCGTAAAGGATGTCAAGAACCAAAATCCGCCAACGTTCATTCTTTACTGCGGCTGAAATATTCATTTTTAGAGCGTTGGTTAATTAAAAAAAAGCAGTATAAAAACCGGAATGTCCAGCTGATAAGGCTGAAAACTTTATTAAAATAAAACCATTTAACCTGGGTGTTCGGATTTATATGTCACTTAGTATACTACCTGTGTAAGCGCTCTTCAACTGTTAGAAATGTTACCATCACTTAGAAGGATGTAATAAAACACGTGAAATGTCTATAAATATGACTTTAATTGCGAATATTTACAACATCGACATCTATAAAGTCTTAAAGACTAAACGTAAAAGGAGGTAATTTCATAAATATCCATACTTCATTTAAATAATCACTATACCTAATTACACTTTTTAAACAGAAAAAATATTTTTTGTATCTACTTCACTCAATGTAAACAGTTAACAAAACACAACTTTAATGTTGTAAAAAAATTAATTTTGGTACATTATCTGTTACATTTTTAGGAAAACAGTTTACACCGGTACTATACACGTAGCAAGATTTCAATAATAAAGAATACCAACACTAGGCTTGAGCAAATTATAAAGGAAGAATTTACGATCTTTGACGAGCTGTGACTAGAATAAAATATACAGTGGTTATATACAGGAGCAATAAAAAGTCAAAGAAGTGGGTGTTCGGTTCTTACCATTGCGATATCTCAAACCAAAATACAAATATAGCTTGGACCACAGATATGTGTAAGATACTGACGGAATACAGAAAGATTGTATTTTCCCATTCGTTCGATTTCAGCTAGAAAGGTGTTAGATTCCAAATTTTTTGATCAATATATAAAGCGTGACAGTGAGTTTAATGTCGTGAAAGAAAGATTTGCTCAAATCTAGAATGATTTATCGACATTTACTTCAAAATCCGATATGAACGAAGCTCTCCAGACTTTGACTAGGCAATCTTAGGTGCGACTTGAATCGGACTCTGTCAGGTTTGAGTTAAGCAAGGGACTTTGTGGCCACTTCTAGGAATAACTAATGCGAACTCAGCTAAAGTCTGAAACTGGAGAAAATGTCACACTGAGCAGATATTCTAGAGTGACTACGCTCCGAGCTTTGACTATACATATAGTCAACAAACTATACATCAAAATATTCATGATTGTTCGGTAATTATTGTATTGGCAAGACAATTAACATTGTACTGAAATTATAAGCATCATTTTTTTTTCTATAAGAAACATGATGTTGATAGTTTCAGTATATTTTTGGCAAATAATAGCTCTCCCTTCTTTATTTTCCAAACAAATTATCATGATCGACAGCTATTGTCAAAGTTCTATACAAATACACGTAGTACATTTTTACAAAGTTCTTTTACCACCCGTACTAGCGAACAATATACTCAAGACCTATCTTGATTCAAAACAAAACAAAAAACAGAGATTTAATTGTATTTTACAGCATGGAAACTCCGCTGGCGAATTTTGATCTACACAGACAGAGGAAAACGATGTCATCATTCATAAGTTGGCGATTTGAAATTGAACTATAGTCCTTATGTAGGGTGAACTGAACAAGATGAATTTTAATTTGAAATTAGTATAAATTATCGGACACACACTTTAAACTATCAAGAGAGCCTTTATGTTACAACTCCAGGAATTTGGTCCTGGGTCCCATTCTTTGACAATTTCATCCACATTTTAACCGTTTGTCCTAAGTTATTACTGGTGCCCGATACGTACGTAAATACGATAGTTTTACTTTACGATATTTCAAAACTAATTTGTCTAACGAAGTAAGTTGACAACGAAATGAACAAGAAACCTAGAAACTAGATACATCCATCTTCAAAGAGAATTAATGTTAGGTATATACATATTGTACAAAGTAGTTTGAAAAGGTTAACATATACATACGCTTTTCACTTGCGTATAAACGTATTAAAAGATTACGAAAGAAGATAAGAGAAAAAAATTAGAAAAAAGTTAAATATGTTTTCTAAAGCAACGTATGTCCATCATTTGTTAAAGAATGTAAATTCTGTAAGTTATAAACATTACGAAATTTGAAATCGGATGGTTCATTTTCATTTTCAAGATTTTAAATTTTGATGTTCAAGTAGAGTTTTGGCCTTGACGTACTTGCCATGTTATTCGAATGCCCAAGTAGCATTTATAATCTGCATAATTTGAATTTGCATCTGGTAGCAAATATTGAACATTTTTTTCACTACTAACCCGAGAAATCACCATTACCGGCATGCAATAGCATTTCACTCCCAAGATAAATAATGGAAGCAAAAAAACCACCTAGGTAACCATAAAATGACATATGGAGTTGGATCCTGACAATTTTATTCTGTTATATTTCGAAATATTTTAATCGAGAAATAAATAATTTTAAGTATAGCTCCTCATGTAGTTCTTAATGTTGGAAAACGGCTGATCAAGTTAACAAAAAGTAAAAAATCACATACTTTACTACCCTTGGATGGATCAATCCAAACCAAATCGGCTGTCTATCGTATTAACTAGAATTTGTCGGTTTGACTGTCTATTTTAAAATATTCTTAAACGTCCTTATCGTGATGAAAATCGAATAGTTTGTGATAGATAGCGTTGGTAGTGAAAATAAATATATACAGAACTCGCATCACACGGTCCCAAGTTATGAAAGTGCACGCTCGATAATGGCCAATTCTCAAATTAGTTAAGTAATGTACTATTTCGTGGTGCATAGGATTCCATACTATTACATATCTTCGGGTACTCGGGTATCAAAAATGAAAGTACAAAAAAATCACAGTTTTTTTGTCATCTAGCACCGGATAACGGAACAAACAAAATACAGTATATACAAATACAAACAGCACCACAAATTCTGACACATTTAAAATTTCCGATTTTATGGACGAAAATATTCTAGTAGATAAGTCTCAAGATCAAGGCAGAGCTTAGATAACAATCAGCTATGAAACTCTCCTGTCACTGTCAAAAACGGCAGCCATTTCAGCGGTGAAAGTCGAATGTGAATTCCTCCGGTATAACGATGAAAGAGGTCTTATGGTCGTATCGTCAGTCGTTCCTACAATTGTAGGACGCCTTTATGGCCTCCTTGATTTTCATAGTTTTCTACTGTTCCGTATCAGCGCTCTACTTTGAGGTATGTTACAAATCTCTATATTCTTCAAATTGTTCATGCTTTTGATTTATATCACCTGTTTTATAAGCCCGAAATTTCCTACAATTCAAAAAGAAAACATAACTTCACAATAGGAGAGCGCTGACACGGAATAGAAGAAATCTAGAAATGGAAGGAAAGAAGATACTTTGAAAATCAAGGAGGCCATAAAGGCGTCCTTTAATTGTAGGAATGACCCTAAGGGTCTCGTGAAAGAGTATTTCGACTTTAAATAACTCACAGGGTGAAGAGACGTGGCACGCTTTCGATCTCCCTTTGGTGACTTTTGTGTTGAATAGGGAAGTGAAGAAGTGAGAAGTGAACCAGCGAGAGTCGTGGACCGTTCACACGGTCACGATTCAGTTTTTTTTCATAAAGCTGGTCAGTTTCTTATTGATAGTCATACTCCTTTGAGGTCAAGGCCAAATGGCAGCCGTTTTTGACACTGACAGAAGAGTTTCATAGCTGATTGTTATCCAAGTTATGTGTAAGCATTGCGTTTCGACCAGACAGGAACCTCAGTCCGTGCCATGCATCTACTGTAATGTTTCCGTCAAAAATAATAAGGAGGGTTAAATGAGTTCAGCTTTGAGGTTAGTGTAGCCGATGGTATGATCAATTCTATTTAAGCTAGTCTAACTCGTAACTTGGTGTTTTTACCAGTGAGATGAACCATTGTTGTTCAAGGTATTTACATTTTAAAAACGAAACTCAAACGAATATTATAGTAAGAGTCTAGGACAAGATTTACAAATGAACTATATAATGTGAATAGTATATCTTACACACATTTATCACAAAAAACTGTTCTGTAGATCATACAAGAAATATTTTTTTCAAAGTTAGCTTTAGCGTCAAACTAACGCCAAAGTAGTTTAAACTATACAGTGGTTTTCAAAAATGTCCCCCCTCAACTGATCAGTTGAACAGGTCAAGGTAACGAGCTGAAATTGGTAGAATAAAAATGATATTCCAGAGAAAAAGTGGCACTTGAAAATGAAACAGGAGGTCACATAATACCTTATTTTGAAGCTTGTTATCATTACTTTATGAACCTAGAGTACAACTTTACTAACTTTCCAAATAGTCGACTGGCGATGAGCCTTTTTGTACGTATTACTTAAAACTCCACAACTAATCATCAAAATGCTATATTATTATATATCAATCATCCACTATTGAAAGGGTTTATTTGAATGTATAACAAAATATGAGATATTCCATTCGAAATATTGACAAAGTTCGACAATATTTTCTACGTGGAATGTTTTATATTTTATTACACATTCGGATAGTTCCTTACCGTTCAAGAAGACTGATGATTGGTTGTTGAGTTATAAGTCATTTTGTTTGTTTGTTTAAGATTTATTTAGCATGATTGCTACAATTACATTCCTTTTGAAAAACTGCAACAATTACATAACTTGCAGATATTTAGGAAAACAAATAATATTCTTTTAATTCTCTTTTACACGTCTTTAAATTATAAGTAGCCTTTTTTGATTTTTTATTTTTAATATCAAAATAAGAATATGATGTGAGATTTTTAATATTCAACCACTGAAATTCTTGTAGCATATATTTTATTTTGGTGTACTTATTTTTATCCAGTATTATTCTCATAGCTTTATTATGCAGAACTTGTGATTTTCAGAACACAGTTTCGTTGTCAGAACAAGATAGTTAAACAATATAATAAATGCGGTAGAAAAAATGCATTATAAACTATTTTTTGAAATATGTACTAAGGCCATGAAAAGCCATTTTCAAATTCTCAACTGCCTCTTTTATGCTGAAATATAGTATTCATACATCAATATCACCCCCTGAATTCAGATTGTTAACTTGACCAGTTCAAAAAATAAGTGGCACTGTATGCTTTGTTATTCTGAGTAAATACAATAATATTAATTCAAAGATCCAACCATTCATCTCAAATCACAATGAATTGGATAAAATCTTACACAAGTTTCAATGTAATACTTTTACATAAAAAACGCACAAACAACGTATGATATTAACATATATGACATATCCTCCAATAAAATTCATAGCTTACCTCAGTTCATCTGAGGATTAATCAATGATCCCTTTGGTAATCACCTAAATACCTATTTATATAACATTATAAATCTGTTGATATTTGTAGCATACAGCGTGTGCCAAAATCGTGTCTATCTGCCAGATTCACGTAGAATACAGAAAAAATGTGAGAAATCCTTTTATAAAATGTATCAAGAAGCAACCCTGGGAGAAACAGGTCCCCAAAGGACGGTACTGGAAATAGGTTTTCCTCGAATAAATTTTGAACGGCGTAGTGTTATATACGTAGCGAATATAAAAATAAAAGTTACGTTGGTTTTACACACAACCTCAGTTGGCTCAGTTTATTGCACGTGATTTTAACTGAGGTAAAATATCTTTTTCCCCACTTATCCCAACTGTATTAACAATACCCGTCTTACTTTGACAAATACATGAATTTCTACATCTTCATGGTCAAATTTCAAATGTATACGGCAAGAATTTGACGTCAAATGAATTCATGAACTTGTTCGTGGATGTTTTCATGCAATAAGATCCTGTTCTAATATACAATTTTGTGCAAAGTTGAACGTAACTCCATGGTGCCAATATTGTTCTCCTTTACATTATAATAAACATCTTTTCAAGTATAGAACTTCGAAAGAACTACATAATTCAACAGTTTGTTAGATATGGTTCAAAATAAAAACCACAATGAATATTAAATCTCAAAGAATGTTTCAAGCAAGAATTTGTTGAGTGGTTGGCACTGTTGTGTGCTGTCAGATAATCTATGAATTTGTTAATCGATGGAAATACTCCAAAATCACCATGACCTTGAAGAAGTTCATCTGCATAAGTTCGTGGAGAAATGGTTGATGTAAAAAGGGTACGACAAAACGTGCAGCTTTTAGGTTAAATGTATTTTGCTTATATGCAAAATCCACAACATGAAATGTTTACTTGTTAGAAGTGTCTGAAGCTAATAGTTTTCGAGATATTTCTTTTTTAAAGTTCCAATGCATTATTTGTAGCGTGATGATAAAACATTTTTATAACATAATAATCAAGTTGCTTTGGATAATATCTGAGTAGCGTTGCTATGGTTTCTAATGTTTGTAATAATATTGCTTTAAAGCATGAAGATGTAAGCTACAGATTCCCTAATAGACACCTGCCTAATTCAAATACTTTCCAACGAATCGATCAGCGGTTACGAGAAACTGGTAAGAAATGATTATAGCCTTATTTTGAGTAGTAAAAACCATTTGGATTTTAGGTAGTTTTGCTCAAAATATGGGCCGACATAGTGGAGCTCCCAGAACTGTACATACAGCTGAAGTTGAAGAAAATGTTTTAGATGCTGTACTTTGAAAATCCTACAGTTGGGATTAGGAATGCAGCTCGAGAATTTCAAGTTAGTAAATACCATTGTTCAAGAGCAACTGGTCCATCCATACCACCTGCAAAAAGTACATGGTTTGAGCGTGGATGATGAACCCGCAAGGATAGAATTTTGTACATAGCTCATAAGGAAGTTTAACCACGACAATGGTTTTACTTCGTTAACGTTATTTTCGGACAAAGCAGGATTTGGAAGGGGTGGGCCCATTAACTCGTATAATCTTCACATTTATGCAGACGAAAATCCTCATGCAATAATAAAAACCCGCCACCAAGTACAATTTCAAATTAATTTATGGGCAGGAATAATTGGACAATATCTAATAGGGCCCGTTGAGTTACCACCTAGAATAAATGGTCAAAGGCATGTACAATTTTGAAGAACAATTACCCACTCTGATGGAAGATCTTCCATTACAAACACGCAAGAAGATGTGGTTTATGCACGAAGGCGCCCCACATCATTTTAGTATTTTAGTTAGAGAACACCTAAATAGAGTTTATCCAGACCAGTGGATAGGCCGATCAGGACCTGTATCGTGGCCGGCTAGATCACCAGATTGAAATCCTATGGATTTCTTCTTCTGGGGTGATTTAAAACGACGCGAATACGCCAGTGGAAACTGTAGATGATCTTCGACAAAGAGTTTTCCACAGACAGGAAATGAAAAATAACATCCAAATGCTATGGAGAGTGCACCTCGAGCTCTTAGTGTGTTAGGCAAGATGGTGCTCATTTTGAACAATTTTTGTAGCTATTATTTCCGTTTATTAGTTTTGCTGCCATCCTCATTTGTTATTGTGAAAAACCATAGCAACACTACTCAGATATTATCCAAAGCAACTTGATTATTATATTATAAAAATATTTTATCATCAAGTTACAAATTATGCATTGGAACTATTAAAAACAAATATCTTCTAAGAAGTAAACGTTGTCTGTTGTGGAAACACGAGAAAACAAGATTTTTCGGTCAGTTGTTGTATACAGGGTAGCACAAAAAAGTTATGATAAGTTATTTATCGAAATAGTGCTGTAAGTGGCGATCTCTAGAAGTTTGGCCATAAAAAATAACGGAATCTTGTTTCTCATACTGGAAAACCTCTCTATACCGAGCTTTAGGCCAAAATCTGAAATACTTCTCAAGCAATAAGGAAAAATAAAAATAAAATTGTCACTTTGACACCCTGTATCTCGCAAACTATCAAATGCGCGGTGGTTTGGACTAGTGACTAGCTAGAACACAAGTTGACGTTTTTACTGACATTATATCGATTTTTTAGGTAGTACCCCTGCTGATCATTTTGTTATTCAAGAGAAACCTAAGCTCAGTGGTGTTTTCAGGGGGTCTATATCTCTGTAAAGGAGCACTGTAAGATATTTTTCATAGGATCATGGCACATTTTTTGTATTCTATGAGAATCTGTGGCGTTGATCACACATTCTGGAACACCCTCTACAGAGCTTTATAATACATATCAGCTATAAACATGCCGCATTTTGATTTTCCTTAAAAATATGTCAGTCAACTACGGCCTAGAGCCTGTTATAATTCTAAATACTCTAATATCCACATTTACTTTCGACAATGGTCAAAAATGATAAATAAATTGACATCGCTTATGTAACACCAAATTTAGTTCGCTATTACACGAATATTTCGAATCATCCAAAACCCATATAAAAATATACTTTCTCTAAGTATGCGCCTCAATTATACACAAGGCTCTAAATTGATTGTTCTATGCAGCTGATCATACAATAGCAGTTAATATAATTAGATTCAAGAAAACGTATGTGACTAATCATTTCTTTGAACAACAGTGGTTGAAAACCAGAATAATAGATACTTTTGGAAATCACAAATACCGCATACGTAAAGGTCGATTTATGAACTCAAAATTGTATTATTTTTAACATATTTGAAGATCAGATTTGACTGCAGATCATTCTGGTTGATGGACGACAGGTGTTATAGTCTAATCATATTAGACGAAAATACCGCTGGTTAGCGAAATAATTGTAAAGTCTGGTTTTATTGCTGCAAGTTATTCAAGGGGGTTATTTAAAACATGGACGCATAAAATGGTTACACCAATTTTTGTGGGAAAACTTTTTATCCGACAAGAAAGAATGAGAAAACGTGTTTTTTGAGACTCAATCGAAAGTGTTGGCAGGAACGAAAAAACTCTTCATAGAAGATTTTTAGGTATTTATGAGACCTACAGAATGAAACCACATGTAAAAAGATCCGACTCATAGCAAAAAAAGTTATGGCCGAAAACCGAGGCAAACTGCAGGTTTTGGCACTTGGTAATGCGCCGATGGTTTCTCGCAGAAGCTTGAAATTCTTCAAATTCGTAGCATTCGTACTTCTAAATAACCACAACAAAATTGGAGTAGATTGGTCAAGTAGTTTTTTGAGAATTTCTAATTGTTTATCCCAAAACACCTGTTTTCCGGCCATCGCTACTAGTTTATTGGGCAATATACAGGGTTCGTTAATAGAGCATTTAACAGCAAAATACACGTGTTTACCTTGCCGATATGAGACACAACCCATTCCTAAAGATAAATGTTATTTTTATGTGAAAAGCAAAGGTTACGTTTTTTACTTCTAAACAAATTCAAACATTTCGTATTTGTAATTCGCAACACATTCGCTTTGTTTTAAACTGGCAACGGACGGTGAGCGATAATATAATATATATATTCTATCCTCCACATTACAGAAATATCGCTCCATGTGTAAACCTATTGAGACGATATATTACGTATCTATCGGGATATGCTTACCGAGCGATATTTGCGCTATATCTATTCCCCTCTTGCGTCGCGTCACCCGAAAATACCAACGAACCGTTCTTGCTGGCAGCCGGCTTGGCGGGATGTTGCTATTTTATTATTTGTTCTTGCACTTCGGAATTCGCAATAGACACAATGGAGTATTTTATTGAAAGTGTAAGAAAACATCCATGTTTATGGAAGGTAGATTCGATCGAGTATGAAAATAATTAGATTAAAGAAGCAGCTGATTGCGATATATCCGACGGTATGAACTTCTAAATATTTATTTTTATATAATAATATTTTATTCACTCAATGTACAAAGATAACAAACAATATGAGTAAATAAATACAAAATCAAAACAGGCCCAATAGAAGGCATCGCCTGTACATGGACCAATAATTCAAGTTGAAACTGTAGAATGCAAATGACAAAAAAGGACAAATATTAGCTACAGTAGATTATGTATTTAGTTGATGTTCGTATTTATGAGTTTATGAATTTCAGTCCTAGATATAGAATGTAGCCACTTTTTTAAATTTCTTTTGAAACAATTTCCGAAACGTAAATCTTTTAAGTCTTTAGGTATAATATACATAGGTAGTTTGAAAGGGAAACCCAAGAGGGGTTTTAGGATTTAGACAAGCGCGGCAGATTAACATATGGGGAATACCTTGTTAATTAAATACACTGTGTACAGCACAGATCAGCAGATCAGCCTATGCACAGAAATGCTGAAAAATCGGTAGGTTCGGCACCACTGCTAGAAAAATATGAAAATATATATTCTGTAGTCCGTTGCAGTCATAATATAATATAATATTATAGCGTATCGTACGACTATAATATATATTATATTATCGCCCACCGTCCGTTGAAGCTTTAAAATGTGTACAGTAGCAAAAGTTTTTCGAATATCGTAGCGCATTTGTTCAATTACTTACAAAATTGTTTAGAGGAAAAAAAAAACGTAACCTTTGTTTTTTGCATAAAAATAACGTTTATCTTTCGGAATGGTTTGATAAACAATTAGAAATTCTGAGAAACTACTCCACCAATCTGCTCCAATTTTGCTGTGGTTATTCAGAAGTACCAATGCTACGAATTTGAAAAATTTCAAATATCTGCGAGAAACCATCGTCGCATTACCAACAAGTGCCAAAATCTGCATTTCGCCTCGGTTTTCTACCATAACTTTTTGCTGTTAGTCGGATCTGTTTACATGTGGTCTCATTTTGTAGGTCTCATAAATACCTAAAAATCCTATATAAAGAGTTTTTTCGTTCCTGCCGACACTTTCGATTGAATCCCGAAAAACCCCGTTTTCTCATTCTTTGTTGTCGAATAAAAAGTTTTGTCACAAAAATTGGAGTACTCATTTTATGCGTCCATGTTTTGAATACCCCTTTGGACAACTTGAATCAATAAAACCAGGCTTACCAATTATTTCGCAAACCAGGGGCATTTTCGTCTAATATGATTAGACGTTTCAGTCTCGTCAAGTACAATTGACATTTTTTACAATATATTTTGTTTATTTGACTTCTAGGTGACACTTCGTTTGTTTTTTATTCCATTTACACATTCCTATACACTATGTTATTACTAAATTATTTATAACTATTTTTCAAGGATGATGCAGTTTATCCTCAATTTCACTTGTACTTTCGGGTATGGAAAGAGAATCATACATTTCATAACCTACTGTCAACGTCAGGAGAATGAAAGTTAGTTTACTAGCATTTGACGAAAGTCTCACATCCATGACAAAGGTATAGTCACATTCTGCAACACTGTGCGTCACGCTGAAAAACAATAACGTCACAGTTTTGTTGCGAATTTTTACTAGTGAACAGTCAAAACATTTACATTTCGATATGAAAATTTTGTAAAACGAGTGTCACTTTGTAAACAGTCAATCACAAGTCACATACGTTTCTTTCAGTTACTCATCGCGTAACCATCTTGGTAATTCACTTCCCCCTACCTTACTTCACAAGACCTACAGAACAGTTTGTTGTGCCTCAGTACGAACTTACGCACTATTCCGTTTTACGATAAATACTTGTACAATTCTTTTCCGCCTACATAATCGGATACGCGTGAGCTGTCAAGCAATGTGTCATCCTCAAAGGGACCTTTAACGCCCTGCTATTCTCTTTTCTCGAATAGTGATTTCCTTTACGTTCAGTTAGTTTCCATTAGCGTTTCTTGTGGCTATGATGGTATTCCTGTTGTTGGAATCTGTGCCGTATATCTTGCCAGCTTTCTTCGCCATTGAACCAAGTAGCTCTTGCGATAACTTGTGAGCCGATTTCAGAGACGTCAGCCACTCTTTTAGGCCGATTTCATCCTGCAACGAAATAATGTATGTTAAGGTGCATACGTTACAAGTTTTTTACGTTTTCGTACGTTCGACTATTTTGTTCACTACAAATGAAACTGTGTTTTCAATATTACAAATATTACAAAATAAAGCTAGAAGAATAATCTTAAATAAACGTAAATATACTACAAGGTCTGTCGCAAAGTAAACAGGACTTTTGAAAGATATCCGGTTCGAGTAGCGCCATCTATCATCGGAGACTGACGTTGGTTAGGTCGATCGATGCCCTGTCAAAAGTTATCGCGCTCAAAGTGACAGTGTCTTTTTAGCATCGGTCGAAAAATGGGCATCGAACAAAGAGCCAAAATTAGGTTCTGTGTTAAACTTGGTAAAACATTTACCGAAACGCGTCAGATGTTGATGCAAGTGTATGGTGATGATTGTTTATCTCGGAGCCGAGTCCACAAGTGATTTACAAGGTTCAAAGAGGGTCGTGTGTCGCTGGGTGGCGACGAACGTGTTGGCCAGCTAAAATTACGTCAGAAACCGTCGAAAAAGTGCGTGAATGTATCAAAAATGATCCAAAATCCGCTTTAAGATACACAGAAATATAATTAAATATCTCTAAAGATTCAATTGATCGCATTTTGACCAAGAATTTGGGCATGCGAAAGGTGTCTTCACGCTTTGTTCCGCACAAGCTCATGGATAACCAAATACGATCCCGAAAAAAACCATAAACCACTCCCCATATTCTCCTGATATGGCACCGTGTGACTATTTTCTTTTCGGTAAAATTCTTTTTTTGGCCATGAAGGGACAGCGGTATGCCGACGTAGAGGCCATCCAAAAGGTGCCGACGACCATTGAAGGACATCCCGTACGAGTATCATGTAAAAAACCTACAAAACGTCAAAAAAACCCTATAAGATGTCAACTTGCAGACTAGGTAGTTTTTAGGGCGCAAACAGTTATTCCACGTTTGCTCACTAGCATCGTTGTGAACGTCCATCTATGAAGGTATCACTCAACTAAACTACACACATTATTGGTTGCATAATTTTGTGAAGCTGAGTGATCCGTGTCTGTAGTTTTTATCTCTGAGAAGAAAGTTGGTTGAATAACAAGATCGCATCTGGATGATTATGTGTATTGGTCTGCATGTGTATACAATCAGTGATATTTGCTGTGTGAGAAAATCATTACTGAATATGCTGAATATGACGGGTTATTTATATGTTGTGCTTTCTGAAGAGAGGTTATGTTCAAAGTTATAAATTACGAAAAACTGAGGAGAATTACGGGAAATCATCACCGCGCCCGCGTTGTGTGTAATTACCATATATGGCTTGTAATTCGACAGTGAACAGTGAATATAATTATTTCTTATCTCTCTCATTTTTGAAATTCAGCAAATTTGTATATGTGATTTGTAATTTCCAGAATGGATAAGAAAAAGTGGATGCGCATTTAATTTCTAGCTTTGAATCTCAATTAAGTGTATTTGAGCCAAGAACCCAATGTAATTATCATCAACACATACAATGTACAGCTTAGACCTCCAATACTGCCATCTCAGAAACAGATTTTACATCACATCAGAGCCAAAGATTGATAACAAGCCTCATGACGTTTAGGCAACACGTACAACTAAGGCTAAGATAACATCTTATAGGAAAACTAAAAAAAAAACAGAATAATGTCAAAAAAATCGGCATAATGTCACTTTTCAAGATACGATAAGGACTCTGAACGTGATACGAGTAAAATGTTTGTTCATTTTTTCTTTAAACTGATTACGTTGCGACAGACCTTGTAGAATAAATTTTATGCTGGCCGAAATATACTAAATGACATATAAATCCGAACACCCAGTTTAAATGGTTTTATTTTAATAACATTTTGTATAAGTACTTAATGAAGCATAATAAGTAAATGATAAATTCAAAATGATCGCACTGCTTTAAAGCCCTTTGACCTTTAATAATGTGTGGATGCACCCTGATGTGCTACGCATTCTCCAACGCGCCTAGGCATGCTTCTGATCAGGTGGTCAATGTCCTCCTGTGGTATTTCATTCCAGGCAACCACCAACTCCTCTCGAAGTGCTTCTAGAGTCTGAGGAGGACGTTGCAAATTGAGCAATCTCCTACCCATCATATCCCCACGTGCTCAATTGGGGATAAGTCGGGAGATCTTGGTGGCCATGGTAACAATGTGACATCATTATGTTGAAAGAAGTCTATTGTGACTCTTGCAACATGTGGTCGGGCATTATCTTGTTGGAAAGTTGGATCTGCCAGGGTGTCAAGATAGGGTAAAAGATGGGGTTCTAGAACTTCGTGGATATAACGCTGCGCGTTCATGTTACCTCTGATGAAGATTAAAGGTGACCTGGAACCATAAGCTATAGCACCCCAAACCATAACTCCAACAGTGTGATGAACATGTCTTTCAACAAAAAACTGTGGATTCCTCCTTTCACCACGTCGCCTTCTAACCCTGGCACGACCATCGTGCATGCCTAAACAAAATCGAGACTCGTCACTAAAGACAATACTGTTCCATTCCTGATCCCAGAGTGACCGTTGTCTGCACCACTCAAGGCGATTACGTCGGTGTTCTCGAGTTAAAGGGAGGACCCAGTGTGGCCGGTATGAAAACAAGCCAAAACTTCTCATTCGTCGGTAAACACTTCGCATGCCAATAGGTCTTCCGTGTTCTGCAAACCATTCATTTGCAATGGACCTGGTAGTGGAGAAACGGTACCTTAAGGCCAATAATCTTAGGCGGCGATCTTCACGGTCTGTTGTTCTACGGCGGCGTCCAGTGCCTCTTGCTCTTTGCGTACGGCCTTCTCGAAGCCATGCCTGACAACTCCTAACCCCAGTGTCTATACTTCTTTGCACTCTAACTACAATTGCCCGAAAAAAAAGTCCAGCTTCCCGAAGTCCCACTATACGGCCCCTATCAAACTCACTAAGTTGACGAAATCGTACAGGTCTCCGTACTCTAGGCATCGTAACCGATCGTAAAGGATGTCAAGAAGCAAAATCCGCCAACGTTGATTCTTTACTGCGGCTGAAATATGCATTTTTAGAGCGTTAGTGAATTAAAAAAGCAGTATAAAAACCGGAATGTCCAACTGATAAGGCTGAAAATTTTTTCACTTGTTATTTACAGTAAGATAAATACATTCACCAACTTTTATTAAAATAAAACCATTTAAACTGGGTGTTCGGATTTATATGTCGCTTAGTATACATCAAAAATTGTATGACATACTTGGTTTTTATTTTCATATACAAGTTACAAAATCATCTTCTACCAAACCGATCAGAATGTTTTAGTGAATTTAACACTGAGTATACCATAGTTGTTCTGCTAGAGGGCGTATAAAATTTCAATTACAAATTGTAATAGCAATATAATTAACAAATCAGTATTTTAAAAAGGAATGTACGAATTTAATAAATTACGTAATGATATCGAGATGTGTGCCAAAAGGAAATTAGAAAAATATTTCATTGAAAAAATATGTAGAGCTAGTGCCACGATTTGGCAAATGTTTAAATGTCCATGGTGGCTACATGTTTATATGTTAATATGCGGTACAATTTAAGTTCATAAAGTTTCTCCGACTCCAATGCAAAAGAGTTCTTACTTAACAAATGGCCCTCGTACATTTCGATAAAAAATATTCACTGGGTATCGTTTGAATCATTCATTCATTATACGTTTCACTGAATGCTAACAATCGCAAATCGTTGATGTATATTAAAATGTTTATTGGAGTTCCATACATACAAATATCGTTTTACACATCAAAGGCATCAGTCAGTAATTGTAAATTATTATATTGAGTTCATGAAAAAATGTTATCGGTAAATACAGTTACGTTGATGGATTGATTGAGGAATTGGAAGAAAACTACTACTACTACTACGAATATACATTTCATCCGTTTTTTTGTGATTGAAAATGGTTTCGATGTATATAATTTTTGAGACCAGTTAAATTTCTTGGAAAGCCCGTAAGAGCCACTCAAGTTGTGGTATCTATGAGATGTGTGCATTTAAGTATTTTCAAAATTTACTACTGGTCGATTCTGGTGATAGATGGCGCTGTATTAATTTGCTATTTTTTATTTGACCACATAGTCGCAATAATTATTTCTTCAAATCTATAATAAAACACACTAAGTCAGAAAGCAAATATAAAGATTAAAGTATTGCGCAACAAAATAAAAGCATACGTTGAAACAAATGACAACACAACAATTATCATATAAATTCACCTGTTGTTTTTACTTCGAACGCAGTAGTATGGTTGGACAGTTTTTTGCAGAAAGTAACCAGCCCAGAACAACAATTATTGAGCAATTAGGCTTTAAAGTTTTGACATTGATAACAAATTCATTTAAGATCAAACACGATTTTAATTAATGGCATACTAAACGGTTTAAATATGTGTATGGATCTTTTTTACAGTAAATGGTATTACTTGTAATAGTTTTTTCCTAAAATCTAAATTTTTCATATTTAGTGGGTTGGTTCCTTTCTGCAAAAAGCAGTCCATTTGTAGTCACTGTTCTTGGCGGGTCGACGTGAGACTACCAGTATCCCTTTATATATCTCCAACTCCCTCATACATACTCATACACTCTACCCCTGTGTGTGAACGTTTGTTTGGTAGGATCAAAGACATACGTTTTTTAGTTCTGTCACCGTCTCGACAACTTTGTCATTACGTATGAGTGCCCTTCAATCATATTTGTCAGAGTGACAACTTACTTGACATCGGCGTGCAATTTGAGTTGTCCTGTTATCAATCTTCAATATAAAATTGTACAATGCCCGGAAATACGATCAATGGAGAAGGCCGGCAGCTCGTACTAAATGTATTAGGGTATTTCCAGGAAGAGAATGAAAATAGTGGTCCCCTGTTACCCACTTCATGCGTACTGGAGAGAGTAGCAGATGCGCTGAAGGTACGATCTGTTTACTTATTTAATATGGCGATGATGACGGAACTGCCAAAAACGGTGACTACAACTATAGAACGCTTTCATTGTATGTTTTGAATTAAAGTGTGTTTTATTACATACAGATTTGAATTAAAACGCGTGGCTAATAATCCCTGAACTTGTATGAAATAAATCCAGTTTCATTTCGATACTGATTTTTATCAAAAATGTCACCTAAAATAAATCATTGATTTAAATCATGATGACGAATGCATGAAAATGGATTCTATTGACAACAGATACAAATAAATTTGAAAAGTTAAAATATAGATCCAGAACGATAACTTACCGGATTCGTGAGAACGACCTTGCCGTCCCGCAACCTGATCACAATGCAGTTCTCGTTCTTAACTTGCACTAATTCCGGGCTGACTTCCTCGATTTGATCCATGAATACAAGTTCAGGCTTCGCTGAGTCGGGATGCAACTCTAATCGATTCGGATACAGTTTCGCATATCGCATCTGCCAGCTGCTAGTCCAGGGACCTCCTAGTTTCTTTACGTAGCCATGGAGAATGCAATCCGATTCTGAAACAAATTTAGAGATTATTTAACACTAATATTATACAGCAAGAACATCATACGGACTGCAAATTGCAACACTGACTGTTGTGCAATTTATAAAAGTGTTCCAAGTCACAAAAACCAACAATTTATGTATTGTTATACAGTCGCGGACAAAAGTTTGGAAACAAATATTAACATTATTATGAACCATTTCATATACCTAAATTAAAATTGTAAAGGAACAGATAATATAGGTAGGTAGGTTTATCTTATCAATATTAAAATTCTATGAAAATAAACACACGCGTTTTTTTAAATACCAGAGTTTTTTTAACGACAAAAGTATGGAAACATTTCAGTTTTGCCGTATTTATTCGTTCTGGGATACCCTGATATTGCGTGCGATAAATATTAACATCAGTGAGATCGGCAAAAGTAAAAGAATTTTCAAAAGATTTAAGAGACAAAGTAATTGAATTATTTAGAAGTGGCGTCAGAAATGTTGACGTTTCTCAAAGATTAAAAATGAACAAAGGGATCATTTAAAAAATTATTAGTAAATATCAAGATTACGGATCAACGACAACGCGGCCCAGGTGCGGAAGACCGAAAAGAAAAACGATTATATTTTGGATTGTTGCATTAAACGTTTGTCCCATGAAGATCTTCAAATGCCAGCCACACAGATTTTCGAAAGAATCGTAGAAGAGGGTACCGGAAATCTTTCTGTCAGAACCGTGCAGACACGCTTGGTGGATTTTGGGCTTTTTGGTAGGCGTCCAGTGCAAAAGCATCACATTTTAAAAAAATCGTATTGCTCAGCTTGAATTTACTAAAACTCATCTAACTTGGACAAAACAATAATGAAATGCAGTTTTATGGAGCGATGAAAGCAAATTTAACTTGTGTGGATCAGACGATACGGCATATGTGAGACCCAATACGAAAAAGATACTACAAAAACTATCAGTTGCCAACAGTTAAGCACGGTGGAGGCAACATCATAGTTTGGGGCTATTTTTCTAGTTCTTGAACGGGTCCAATTGTTAAAATTGTTAGGAAAATGGATCAAGAACTTTACAAAGATAGTCTTACTGAACACATGCTCCTTTTTGCTGAAGAAGAAATGGCTTTACGGTGGACATTCCAGCAAGATAATGACCCCAAAAACCTCAAAATTCGTAAAGGACTGGTTAAGACTAAAATATGTTAATGTTCTTACATGGCCTTAGCAATCCCCGGACCTACACCCTATAGAACATCTCTGGGAGTATGTTAAAAGACAACTGACGAGAAAAACTCTTACAAATAGGGACGATTTATTTGATTATGTAAAAAATATTTGGCAAAATATCCCCCCTGTAAAAAATTGGTGTCTTCTATGAGCAGCAGATGCCAGGCAGTGTTGAATGCTAAAGACTATGCTAGCAAATATTAACTAAGCAGTATTTTTCACATCTTTTTGTAGAGTTATTGTATTTAATTTCGTAATAAAAAATTTGTTCCCATACTTTTGTCGTCTCATTTTGGCCATAAAATAATATGAAGGTATTTTAATGCTAGTATGTAGTACCACAGCAAACAAATCATTTGTATCCTCAAGACTGTAAGCAAACTATATGAAAAAAAACAGTCCCTAATAAAGAATACAAAATTAGCACACTTTTAAAAAATCACTAAGAATGTTTCCAAACTTTAGTCCGCTACTGTATAAATGTGAATCTCTGTTAGCATCACGTCTGAATCTCAGCACGGAGAGACGTAAGAATGTGAACATTACATTTGTGTACATAAACCCGAGGAAGGTTGTAGGCTTGGTTTTATCCTCGAAAATAAACAGGGTGTAAAAATATGGATAGCTCAAGATATCTCAAAAATACGTTTCATAGAGAAAAATTGTTGTAAATCAATGTCGTAAGGTTTGAAATGATTCGTTCATTAGTGATTTCAAACGTTGTTGACATTCAAGGCCATTTGAAGGCCAAGACAGGTTTCTTAAATCAAACACCTATTTTTGACACCGGAAATGTTAATAGCAGGGAATTTAATATTAAAGTATGCCTTTGCCAATGGCCTTGACCTTAATGGGTACTTGAGGGTGTCCACGAAGTAGGAAAATGACAAAATATCTCGAAGAATACCTTTCATAAATAAAAAAGTTGTGTTATAAAGTTGTATAGTTTGGAAAGGTTAATCTAATGGTGACCTTGAACATAACCTTGACTATAAGCTTCAAGCTCATGTGAAGGTCAGGACAGTTTTTTTAAATGGAACCCCTATTTTTTACACCGGAAATATTAAAAAAAGAAACTTTCTGTTCAAGGATGTCCATGACCTTGACTATGGTCATCAAGGTCATTCGAAGATGTAATGAACTTTTAACGGGAAGCTGTCTATTTTTAGTTCCTAAGATACAAATTGCGGACAATTTTAATATCGAGTATATCCTTGCCAGTAAACCTAACCACGACCTTCAACGTCACTGTAAGATCAGATAAATTTTTAAGTAAAATCCTCACTTTTTGTCGAGGATATAAAAAAGCGAAATATTGAAATAAATATTGTGAAAAATGTACATTGCCAAAGTTACTATTGCATCACTTTCAATATTGCATTTCTTTTTCGGAGACCAATCTCGTTCACACTAATGCGACACGAATGTATTTTATATACTGAACAAAATGAAAGCGGATTCCGCGTAAAATCATTCATCAAATGTAGGTTGAAGTTGAGTCCAGGCAACAATTCAAGCTACTATGTCTTTTATAAATTCGCACCATACTAAAAACATTTACACTTCATCATCAGTTTATCAAAAGAAAAATACCTTTTTCATCTATGTCATACAGCTTTTTTTGTTTTGCCCTTTTCTTGTGCTCTGTTTTGTCAGCTTCAAAGTTCACAGTTTCGAATACTGTTTCCGCCACTTCATTCTGCCACCGTTCTGATATCACAAGGGGGAAGTTTTTGTAGAGTTCTTGATCCGCATCTGTCAACTGCAAAAAAAATCATTGAATATGTGTACTGACTCAAGAATTAGTTAGTCCCTATTCTAAAGTGTAGTGATCTGTTGGTCAACCCTAGATTCATTTGGATATTTAAACACGAGAAACATAAAAAATACCTTGATTCCTTTGGTGTCCTCTTCATCAAAAGAACCAATATCAAAAGCATCAGCCGCATTTACCTCTCCTCTAGGGGGTATAAGAGGAGGGGTGTATTTTTGCAGGTACACTTGTTGCCAGTCAATTCCGGCAAAAAATGGATGTTCCTTCACTTCGTCCGATCTGAAAGACACAAAATCTTATAAACACAAGAATTTCGAAAGGTCACTACAAATCTTCTAAAATTCCATTTTAAATAAGGTGTTATACAAGGTTTGTCCGGAAAATACGCATAAAAAATCCGGGGCGTCGTGTCGAGGTGGTTCCCTCTCTCTGCAAGTAACTAGGATTTACGTGTGCTTGTTGGAACTAGCCCTTTTTTATCTGCCGTCGGCATGGAGCTCTCTCTCATCGAGGAACAGCGCATCAACACCAAGTTTCTTGCAAAACTAAGCAAGAGTGGTCGTGAGATTTTTGAGTGTTTGGAACCAGTTTACGGACACAACAATTCTCTGAAGGAACCAGTCATTGAAAAGCTTTCGGGAAGGCCGAGAATATGTGAAACATGACCGCAAATAATGGTCCACGAAATTCTAACAGAAAAACTTTAAATGAAAAAATTGTGTGCGAAAATCGTCCCGAAGCTCTTGACTCCAGAAAGCAAGGAGGGTTGCTTGCTGTGAGGACTGGTTGGAAGCAGAGGAAAGGGGGACCTTCTCAACCGGGTCATCACTGGAGATGAGTCTTGGTTCTACGAATTCGATGTGGAGTTGAAATCACAAAGCATGGAGCGGAAGCAAGCAGAGGAACAGAGAGCAAAAGAAAAAGAAAAAAATCAAGGTCCAATGTGAATACAATTTTGATTGTTTTCTTTGATTCTCTGGGCATTGTTCACCAGGAATTTGTTCCTCCCAGCCAGACAGTGAACGGAAATTTCTACATTGAAGTTTTGCGTCCCTAGTTCGACCGGATTTGGCACAAGGGGGAGTTGGATCCTTCATCACGACAACGCGCTACGTCTCTCGTTGTGCGCGAGTTTTTGACCCGAATCTCAATCACCGTGACACAACACCCGCCCAATTTAGCACCTACCGACTTCTTCCTGTTCCCAAAATGCGAAATGGTGCTTCGAAGGTGGCACTTGGGGGATGTAGAATCTGTGAAGACAGAAACGACACGGCAAAGAAGAGCCTCACAATTGAAGACTTTCAGCGATCGTATCAACAGTGGAAACGGTGTTGGCAGAAGTGCATCTTGTCTCAGGGGAAGGAAACCATATACGTATTTTCCGGACAAGCCTCGCATCAACCCCTAGGAGGTTTAGATAGAGCTTTCAACGGAAATTAATAAGGCATAATTTGTTTATTATTAGAAAAATAATCTTACCCTTGTCCTTTACAGCCCAATCTCTTATCTATATCCCTTTGCAGTAGCCCCTCTAATAATGATTTTAATTCTTTACTAAATGAGTCTGGTAATTCTACGTTCTGAAAACGAAAATTATAGTTAAAAAAATGCTGCTCGGAAAACGTTCAGTGGCTTCCGACGAAATAAAAAAACATCTGAATAAATGCAGTAGACATTACTACTATTATTTACTAGTGAAATTTTTTTATCACAGTGTTTAAGCATGGATCATTCGAGAAGCTTAAAAACAAAGTATTAAAGTTTCGGAGATATTTGACCAAAACAATGACTTACCATAGTTAATGTCATCCTATCGATCTCATGTTTGTCTTTGGTCTTATGTTGGCGAAAAGGCGAATGGCCTTTCAACAATTTGTACAACATACAACCGAAACTGAACCAATCTGCGCTCGAATCGTACGCAGTGCCTTTTGATAATACTTCAGGTGCCATATAACCATGAGTTCCTCTGAAACATAAAAACAGAATTAGTTAAAATATATTCTCCCCAACCCTTACAACTACCAACTCAAGAACACCTGAGCATTGAAAAACAAAGTTTGGGCACTATTCATTTTTTCCATTTTTTTGACCTTAGCTCTAAACCGATATGCAAAAACTCCAAAACTGTTTCGTCTTTGGCAGATCAGTAACCTTATGTGAAAATTTTATCAAAATCCGAGAGGTAATCTCCAGGTTATAGATGGGCCAAGAATTAAAGGGCAGACAGACCAACCGAAATGAGTGACATGGTTTTTCGTGAGGTACATCATACTGTAGCAAGAATGAATGGTACTACTAGCGCCATCTGTTGACAACATCGTCAGGGACTCTCCTTCGACATCGAAGCGAGGTGCGAGACTGACCCCGAAGGTTCTGGAGTGGCCGCTATTCACACCCAAAAGAAACCAGAAAAACGGTATAATATGTTGTAGTTACAGTGGCAAAGTATACAATTTTGAAGAGGTCAATTTGTCTATTTGTGATCAACATTCACAAGAAAACCGGACACAAGGGAAGAAATCAAAGGAAGACTGGGGAAGGGAAATAGATGTTTATACAGGATCTTAGGGAAATAATATTTGTAACTTTAAGAGCATTATTCTAAGTAAAAAAGTTCACTATAGCGTGTCGTAGATAATTAAATTTTCTCAAACATTTGGCAACGCTGCAACGCAAGCGCGATACGAGCGCACGGCGACCGCAACTGATTCATCGAATTGTTTACGTTTGTATGATATTTTTGTTGAAAATGTCCCTTGAATTATTGAATACCTTTACGCAGTTTTTTGCAGCTAATATTGTTTATTTAATTACGCTTTCAGTACAGTACATTTGCTTAAAAAAATGACAGAAGTTACCGGTACGTGGCGATACACACCACCAACTCCCACGATTATCAGTCTTATTTGAATGCGATGCGGTGCACGAAAAAAGAAAAAAAAACACATCCGTAAATCACATAAAGTTACAGTTAAATGTATTAGTAATCACAACAACACGCGATGATACATGCAGTGCAGGTGGAGTACGACGTTGCCAGTTTTGTGGGGGATTTTGTTTGACTGTTTTTCTTCGGAAAACTGTATTTAATAAGCAAGAAAATTATTTTGTTAGAGACAATTAATAAATAGATGTATTGATACATTTTACGCTATTAGGTATATGATTTTAAATTATTAAGGTGCAAAATTAATTTACTTCATTACTAAAAAGAATCAAATTCAGCATTTTTTTGCTCCGAAATGGTCGATTTTCGGACATGAACGTTTTTGCTTAGAATAATACAAGGAATCACCTCATAAAGTTACGAATATTATTTCCCTAACACCCTGTATAGCCTAAACCATTACCTAAAAAGCAAGTTGATAAGTAATAAACTAAAAATTAGATTAAATAAAACAGTAATAAGACCATCAGGTACATTTGCTCGTGAAATATGGATCTCGAGGAAGGCAGATATAAATATCCTCGAGCTGTGGGAAAGAAAGGTATTAAGGAAAATTTTTGGAGGGAACTGAACAATGGTATATAGGAAAGAAGAACAAACCAAGAGCTTGCAGGTATGTATAAAGAATCAAGTATCACAGGATATATAGAGAACAAAGGTTTACGGCAGGTTAAAAGGATGGTAGAAAATAGGCTTCCAAAAATAGTTGTTAGCAGAAGCATAGGAGGCAAGGAGAGGACAGGGAAACCGAAGGAAAGATGGAAGAGCGAAGTAGAAGCAGATCTTAGAAGCTTTGGTCTACAAAACTGGGAATTCATGAGTTAAAATAAGAAGAAATGGAACGAAATGACAAATAAAGCCTTGGGCTATGTATATACATACATATCTTAATTTCGAAATATTCGCGATTACAATACTTCCTTGCCAGTGGCATGGACAGTAGCAAACTGAACATCTTAGTACGTTTACATAATACTGATGTACTCCTTCATCCAAAACGATCCATACATGAACTTGAACTATACTTTTTACGTAAGGTCGTTGAAAAATTGCACGTCTCAACCCCAGAGAATCTATTGGGACACAGTGTGTACTACACACACTCTACGCTCTAGTAGTGTCAGCTGTTTTATCGGTTTTCGTCAATGTTGAAAAAAGTAATTTATAGTATGAATACTTACACGCTAGCATGGGGTTTCTTTTTAGAAAAATCACAGGCTAATCCTAAGTCCGATATCCGAACATGACCGTGTTCGTCTAATAGTATATTTGCAGGTTTTAAATCCCTATATACAATATATCTCCTATGCATATGTTCTAAACCTGGAAAAAATAAAAAATATTATTTAGTTTGTCCCATTCCGGTCGCACCCCCATTTGTGACCCTCCTGGTATATGTTGGGGAATACGCTGGGACACGTCAATTTTGATTTCTAGGGAGACGTCTTTTCATTTATAGCCGTACAATACAGGGTGAGCCAAAATTAAAATATTGTGTTACACTTTAGATTTTCAAATGGAAACCCCCATTTTTTTAATTTTTATATTTTTTAATAACTTTTGAATAATAAAGTTTATAGCTATCCTCAATCTTTGTGAAGCTGTTTAAGTTGTTTATAATAAAATTCTACTAACTTAATACTGATAAGAATGGAATACTAACCAGCAAGAACATATACCATTAGTCAGTCATCGTATGTCATAGAAAAACTTCGTCTTTCATTTCATATTGTTAAGTTACTTACCTAGTAATGATAACTATTGAACAATGACTTATTTAATTCAAGAAAGGGTAGAAATAACAAAACTGTACTACCAAAATGGGAGCATTGCAAGAGCTACTGCCCGGTTGTTTAATGCGTTACATCCAGAAAAAAATATTAACGATAAGTATGTGGCTAATTTGATAAGAAAATTTGAAGAAACTGGATCTGTGTCTAATATTCGACCAGTTAGAAACGAAACCGCAGAAATAACAGTTTTGGGACAAGTGGCACTTGACAACACCCAAAGCACTCGTGGATTGGCTACTTCTTCAGGATTTTCACGCTCAACAGTACCAAGAATTTTTAAAGACAATAAATTTCACCCGTACAAGATAAAAATTGTCCATGAAATGAAGACGATTTTGATAGAAAAATTTTTGTGAATTGATGTCCCAACGTTTAATCAACAATGAAAATCTGTTATTTAATATTTTTTTCTTGGATGAGTGTACGTTCTATTTACATGGTGCTGTAGCTAGACATAATTGTCGATATTGGAGTGACTCGAATCCACACTTGTTTCAAGAGGTACACTTGCAATATCCTGAAAAAATAAGTCGAGTGGTCGCCGAGATCTTCGGACCTAAGTCATTTAGATTACTTTCTTTCGGGGCATTTGAAAAGTAAAGTTTTTATTACGAAGCCAGATTCCATTCAAGATGATCGTCACAATTTCTAGAATGTTATTATAAATTCAAATAGCTTCACAACGATGGAAGATAGGTATAAACTTTATTGTACAAAACTTACTAAAAACCATGGAAAATCTAAAAATTAAAAAATGGAGGTCTCCACTTAAAAATATAAAGTGTAACGCAATATCTTATTCTTGGATCACCCTGTATTGTACGCCTATAAATGAAAAAACGTCCCCCTAGAAATCAAAATTGACGTGGTCGAGCGTTTTCCCCAAAATAGGAGAGTCACAAATAGGGGCGCGACCTTGTCATCTACCAACTGTGTTTCATGCTTATGGGCAATAATCAGCATGCTATAGGCTTGGTCTTTAGGTAGGACAACGAAGGAAAGCAGGGCGAACTATCATCTATTAGAGGTATGAGGTCTAACAAGATACGTCAGCAAGTCAAATGGTCGATTCTGGTAATGCTGACCGAACGTGTATTTTTTGGCAGAATGTTTTTCTGATCTTACCTAATATGACCTCGGCAGCATAGAACTTCATCTCTGTCTCGTTGAAGACGCCGTGCTGCGAGAGGTGGTAGTGCAGATCGCCGCCGTTCATCAGGTCCAGGATAAAGCAGAGTTTGTCGGGCGTGTGGAAGGCATACGTCATACATACTATAAAGGGACAGTCTTGACCGGTGCTCACCAAGGATAACATTATCCTCTCGTTCAGCGCTAGCGTTTCGCCTACAAACAAAATGACTCGGTACTATCCAAACATTATTATAAATCTATTTAAAATTCAGTTTCGGTATTTTCATGGCTTTTGGCGGGTTACAAGTAGAACTACAGGAATTACTTCCATATCTCACTTACACATACATTTGCAACTGATCTATATGCATTGGAGTTTGTTTGTGCGACTTGTGTTTAACGATGTTAATCTTCAATATAAAGCATAGTAGTGCCTGAAGATACAACTACACTGTCGACAGTCTGTATTTTCAGAAAGAGAGTAAAAATAACGGTCCTCTGATCACGTGCCAAAATCACGTCTTTTTACTTACCAGTAATTTGAATTTCTCTTTATTATTGGTAGAGTGACGATTCCTAGGACAAACCCTTTTCAATGATTTTCATTTGGCAAATTTCACAGTTTATTGATCGTATAATTCATACGTATTATATTTTTCTTTCTCAGCGATTCAGTATTGTGTTAAAACCATTTGGACACTAAATGTTATAGTATTATTGATGACAATCTCAGAAATTTCCTCATAAAATATCGTTGGTCCCTCGTTGAGTTGGTTCCACCCTATGGCAACCAGCGCCACCTTGTGATTTCTTTACGTACTAGCCGTATACGGATCAAGATACCTTGTTCGTGCGTGTATAGACGCGTCCAGCGCCATTTTTCTTTTCTTTCTGCTGACGTTTGGTTGTGCGTGGGTCGCTTCGTTAGCTTCCAGATCCTGGGATTTATACCCATAAACACCAGATTATGGAGTAGCATCTTTTATTTGGTACTTTACGTTTAGTTGTTTTGGTTTGGGTGCTACCCCGTCCATTTTCTAATGGGATTTTAATCTTCAGCGGTAAATTATTTTTTGTATACCATCGGACCACGTCCATTAATGCATATCCTGAACAAGTTTGTTCAATATCTGCTTCCTTTTAGTGGAGAGGCATTGCGGAGAATCACCATTCACACTCCTCCAGATTTGTTTTGGTAGCGGCCTTGTAGCTGTTTCGCAGCCGATTTTGCTGGAAGCTACCTTTTCCTCTTGACAAAAAACCCTGATGTGAACAGGTAAAATATCATTTTGATTGGGTATTTCGTAGATATTTATATTGATTATTGCTGACTGAAATTCTTAGAGTGTTCTTGATTTTGTTTGGCATTTTTTGTTTGGGCTTACTAGAATACATTGATCATGATTTTGATTTTTGAGCTGCAGTAACTTTATTTTAGAACAATTGATAAAATTTTGAGGGTGTATCACTTTTGTACATTTTTATCTTTTCTTGTCCCTGCTTTACTTTTCTTGTAAAAGATAATGTACATGGTATTTCTTCAAGTTTCGAGTGTTTACGTGTGTAGTTCTGTCTCAGTCAGAGAATAGAAAGCAGATTTTTAAGCTGTATTTCCCTCTCTAGGGTTTTTTGATACCGTAAATTTCGGAAAACGAGGCGAGCAGCCCCTACCTTGTGACTGCCCACTGGGTTCTGATCTGAGCGTTTGTGAGTTGAGGATTCTTTTCTTTTGTGTGGGTGGTCAGGCAAATAAGTTCCGATTAACACCTCAGGGATTTGTGGCATAATCCATCTTAACCGCCCCTACTCTCTGCAGTATTGAGCTAGGGCCAAAATTTGCACGCCACTAGTCAGCTGTTTTGCATTGACTGGCCCTTAGATTTTATTTATAGTGTTTTAATAATTCATTAATTTTAAGAATAAGGAAAGAGGAATCACACCACCATTTCCTCTTGTTTATAAAAAAAGGCTTGGCACTCTACCACTCAATTCATATGTGTGCAAGAGCGAGTAGCAGATGCCATTCATTTCATATTTATTTGAAGTAGCTGCGCGTGTTGCCTGCTATATAGTTTGATGTAACCTCCCCTCAGAGGCCTCCAAAAATCCTCGAAAATATATATTGAGTAATAATCATGAAACGAGAGAAGGTTTTACATTGTGCATTATTATTTATCTCGTCATTTAAATTTTAGGGAAATTTGTTTTGCGATGTCCAGTAAGAAATACAAGTCAGTGCCAACATACGAGGCACTCAGTACATTCAGAGTTGGCGGGTACGATCGCTCCTTTATCTCTCCTGACGAGACTTTTCCCAGTTCTGCTACCTTATGGCAGCCGGTATAAAAAAATCTTACCTTGCTTCATTTTTATCCTCTTCTTATCGAGACACTTCATCGCGTACATCTTCCCCGTATCGGCTTTTCTGCAGCCGTATACTTCCCCGAACCCGCCCCTTCCTATTATCCTATGCACGCTGAAGTCGTTCATTGTTAACTGAAATCATACCAATTAGTCGATCTCAATGTTCCGGGAAACGAGGATGTATTCCGGAAACATAAATATTGGAGCTAGCCCCCTCAAAACGTTAATGATGTTTAGACCGGGATCCCAAGAGGACGACGAGAAAATCGCGCAATCGTGGGAGTAGCTTTCCAACTCGATTTTGTTTTTCGTAATTGATTTTGTTGGATGAATCAAGATGTTGCCGGGCGACAAAGCTGGTGCAATCAGAGTTTATAAGTAGGGTTTTAGGCTTTTGAAAATAAATCGTTCGCATCTAAAGGTTCCTTCATCCAAATATTAATTGATTATTACCTGTAGGTATGGTGTATCTGAAGTCACTTGAAATAGCATAAAAACCTTTGGTCGGCGCGTCCTTTGTAATTTCATGACGTATCATAGGCGGTGCGGCATTTATTTAGAACGATAATAATAATGTTTTTATATCACAATAAATGGATTTACTATCTTCTTATTTTTTTGATTTGGGATAAAAAATACTTATATTGGGAGTTTAATTTATGTTGACTGAAAGTAAGAAATGGAAAAATTACAGAATTCCAACGTTTGACATAGGCAAATATTTACATAGCAGGTAGGTATATAAAAAGGTATATAAAGACTTACATTATAGGTATTTATATATCATCCTCGCCTTCGGAGCTGTCGCTAGAGTCATCTTGTAGAGGAATTACAACGGGATTTACAGGAGGCAAAACACAATATTCATTTTCTTTTTCAATAATATGCCTAGAACACTGCTTCCATAGGTCTGTGGCAGCAATATGAGATACTGCATCTCTTATTGTGGCCAATAGCGATTCACTTAATTGAGGGGTCTATTATGTTTTCTTACTTTCCATTCCCTTATCCTTCATAAAATCAATAATGTCTTGTTTTTTTGTGCCTGTATTCGGAATTTTGTTTTTCTGTCGGGAATGGTATGGCGCATTGTCCATAATAATCACTGAATTTGGGGAAATGTTTGGTATTAAGTGCTGCTCTATCCACATTTCAAATAAGTCGGAGGTCATGTCCTCATGATAGTCGGCACATGATTCTTTGATATTTTTGGCAGATAACAGCAAGGCATTAGGTATAAATCCATTTTCACTGCCAGCATGGAGAATAATGATTCGTTTTCCACGGTTGCATGGTGCATTTAAAATGCACTTGTTGCTGTCGTCAACCCAGCCGTACTGCACAACATCATGGGTATCATACCACGTTTCATCCAGGTAAATCAGATTTCTTTTCTGCTCTCTATAGATTTTAACTTTGTGCAAAAATTCTTGGCGCAATTCAACGATTCGAGACGACTCCATAATCACCATTCTTTTATCTAATTTTTTGTATTGAAAACCACACAGTTTTACAATACAGTGCAGTGAGTCTAAGCATTTGTAATTATAAAAATCTTCAGGATAATCTTTTAATTTATCCCGTATCATTTCCAACGTGGGCACCAAATTTTCTTTATAAAATCCGTATATTATACGACGAATATCTTCCTGAAAACCCACGTCTATTCTTTTTAATTTTTGCCCTATGCGCTTTCTGTGGAAGGAATGGTTGACTACATCTCCCCTTTTTATAACCCGATAAATGGTAGACCGACTGATTTTTGTCAGGATACAAATTCTGTTTAAAATTTGATTTTGCGAGGAATCTGGATTTTCGTTTTTCAGACAATCATATATTTAGGATTACTCTTTGGGTCTGTTCCTCTAAATCTTTATGAAAGAATTCTGCCTGCACAGGTTCATCAACCATCTCCTCGTGGCTTGGAGCATTTTCCCAAGGTCTCCAAAGAGCCATATTTAGGACACACAAGAACAATCAACACAACAATTAAATCAACAAGTAAACTGAGTATTCAAAAGTCAAAAACACACAAACTAATAAAATCTATGAAAAAACACGGACAGACTAAAGAAAACACGTTTATTCACCGCTACACGGCACTGGCTAAACTGTTTCAATTTTCAGTAGCCACCTGCACTTGTTCGAGCTCTGAAATACACGCTTTCTCATTGGCTATGTCCACATGGACCGTGTATGAGGTGAAACTGCCTTTGATCTCTTATACGGGGGATATTTGCTGCGAAATTTGGCGATTTTTGCAGCAACAGCGTGTTAAATATAGATATTAAAACGCACCCGGTATTTCACAGTGTTTCAAGTGACTTCAGATAAAGTATACATACATATTTTAAGCTTTCGGTAACATTTATTTGAAAACACAGTTGTATCTAATCATTTTTTCTTTATTTATTTTTATTCATGTGTATACGAGGTCTGTAAATTAAATGATCAGACTGGCAACTTAGCGTTCGATCTGGCAACTCTGGAGGCGCCTGGCTTGGACGGGCAGGGTTGCCAGGCGTGGCGATTTTTCGACAAATTGGCGATTTGACAGCTTCAAATGGCGACTAAAATGGTAGCTTGGCGATTAACTACTTTAGTGCCGCCCAGTATCCATCTAATTGTCGATACGTGGCGATTTTTATCATTCCTGACGCAAATTAATTTGTAATAAATTTTTGGTAATAAATATGTGATTAGAATAATGAAACATGAAACGAGGACCAGCGGTAGTTCTGTTCTCTAAGCACACTGGCGTTTGTGGTCAAACATCAAAGGTGTCGTGTTCCGTCAAGGCATTTGAAGGAGTCTCATTACTTAATTTACAGACCTCGTAAGTATTGCTATCTCCTTAGTATATTTCGGGGATGAGTTTAAGTATCTTTTGCCCAGATTTTCTTATTTAAGTTGTTAATGTACAGGGTGGCCAATATATAACTGATTTGAATTGCGCGCCCTTTTTGATACATGCATTTCAGTACGTGGCGCCGTAGTAGTTGTTTAAAGCACATGTGTCCAATTCATCATGGAGCGCTACACGATCCCACAATACGTCCGTATTGTTAAAACGTTTTACTTAAATAACACTTATCAACAGCCAAAAAATATCCTAAATAAAATCAACAAAATATTACTATTTTTAATGTGCTAAAACCGGAATGAAACTTATTTTTTCAATATTAGTTCAAGTTTTAGAGATACGGTAATTATATGTGTTCCTGCTGTGACAGTGTTAATATACTGTAATTCACAAGAATGCACGTGCTACATTTTTATATTCGGCAAGGAAAGATGTAATCGGCATGATTGTGTTACGTTATACATACGTGTACATTATACTGTTTTATATTAGCCATTTTTTCCTCAGTTGGCTGACAGCGTTCATGCAAGATGTCTCGGAAGTGTGTAAACAATCCAGATCAGTTTCGTTACGTTTGTGGTGATGTGACTTTTGCGTCTCAGAGACGGTCTATTACTCCACTAATAACAAAGGCATATCAGCTTTATTTCGGTTGTAAACTAGGTGATCAAGACAAACAGTGGGCACCCCAAATCTGCTGTAATACATGTGCTTCAAGTCTGAGGAGCTGGTTAAATGGCAAAACACGGTCTATGCGCTTTGCTGTCCCAATGGTTTGGAGAGAGCCTACAAATCATATTAATGATTGTTACTTTTGCATGGTACCTTGTGTTGGACAAGCCACAGGTATGTCCAAGAAAAAAAATCGGTTATTAACTATTAACCCAAATATACCATCTGCGATGAGACCTGTGCCTCACAGTGACGAAAATCCTATTCCAAAACCCCCAGAATCCTACACTTGCGAATCAGATCATGGCGATCGAGTGATTCGTCAGGAAGAAGATATGCCATCAACATCAAGAGATCCTGATTTTATACCGAGCACGTCATGCCACCAACCGCACAAAATAACACAGTCAGAATTAAATGATCTTGAAATGTAAGGCAGAGATACTTGGATCAAGACTGCAGCAATGGAACTTGTTAGAAGACGATGTTTCGGTATGTGTTTTTCGTAAACGCCACAAAGACTTAGAACCATTTTTCAATATGGAGAATAACTTGGTTTTCTGCAGTAACATTAACGGCTTACTGGCGGCTTTAAATATAAACTATAACCCAGAAGAATGGAGATTGTTTATAGACAGTTCAACATTGAGTTTAAAGGCAGTGTTATTGCATATTGGAAATATTTTACCATCTCTTCCTGTAGGGTATGTAGTTCACATGAAAGAATCATATGACAATATGAAGTACCTATTGACATGCATAAAATACGATGAGCACCAATGGCATATTTGTGGCGATTTGAAAGTTGTCAAAAAAATCTACAGCATATGTCATTAGTAGATTCGAAAAAAAATTTATTACCACCACTGCATATCAAGTTGGGCCTAATGAAAAACTTTGTCAAGGCATTAGATAGAGATGGGTCAGCTTTTCAATATCTGCGTCAGAAATTTCCAAGACTAAGTGAGGCAAAGGTTAAAGAAGGTATTTTTGTTGGGCCACAGATTCGAAATATTTTGAAAGATACACAGTTTGAAAACACTTTAACAGGTATTGAAAAAACTGCTTGGAATGATTTCCGTCTGGTGGTCACTAATTTCTTGGGAAATAGAAAAGCTGACAACTATAAAACCCTTGTCAAAAATATGCTGTCATCGTATCAAAAGATGGGCTGTAATATGTCTCTTAAGATACATTTCCTACACTCACACCTGGACTTTTTTCCTGACAATTGCGGAGCCGTAAGTGATGAGCACGGCGAACGTTTTCATCAGGATATTTCAACAATGGAAAAAAAGTACCAGGGAAAGTTGGATTCAGCGGCCCAAAATTAACAAAGAAGTGCACTTTTCCCACAAGATACAATTAAAAAACTAAAATTTGTTGTCCAGTGAATGAGTCGATTGATGCAACGATTCGGAAGCTACGACAAGATTTCGGTCGAAATTAAGTACACGTGTTCGAACTGTTCGTACTCCAGAAAATATCGAGAGAGTTCGTGAAAGTGCAGTAGAGCGCCTCGAGACGTCTACCAGACATCGTTCTCAAGAACTGGGTATTCGTCGTACATCATGATGCACTATTTTAAAACAAGACTTGCATTTGCGGCCATATAAAATTCAGTTAAGAACTACAGCCTAGTGACCATGAATCTGGGCATTAGAGAACCCTCGTGTCATCCATCAAAGACTACTACATCCTCATCGAGTCACAGTTTGGTGCGGTGTTTGGTATGGAGGTGTCATTGGACCTTCCTTCTATGAAGACACTGCAGGTAATTCTTTCACTGTCACTAGCGAGCGCTACCGTGATATGGTGCAAAACGTTCTGGCTGCTCAAATCCAACAATTTAACCTGCAAAACATGTGGTTCCAGCAGGACGGAGCAACTTGTCACACAGCTAGAGTAACAATGAATCTTTTGTCAACAATATTTCCGGGTCGTTTAATTTCTCGATTTGGTGATGTCAACTGGACACCAAGGTCAGCGGATTTAACTGCTCATGACTTTTTATGGGGATTTTTGAAAAATAGGGCTAATCCCAACGAACCAAATACTATAGAGCAGCTGAAGAACGATATTACGGAAAATGGAAAATGTAATCAAGAGGGCTCGAGTTTGCGCTGCTTCTAGAGCCGGATATTTGTCTGATATTATTTTTCATACATAATTTCTGAGTTACAATAAAATATTACGATGAAAAAATGGACGTATTTTATTTCATTTCACAAATATTCAAGATACAACTAACAGGCTACATATCGGCCACCCTGTATATGTCGATGTTTTTGATTTTTTTGTAGAGCCCTGAAGGAAATAGATTTTTCCGAAACATCGGCAACGTTATATCAGGAAACTGTGTTTCTTCAGACCACCAAATTCCAATTCATTCTAATAAATTTTTATAAAAAGGACCATTAAAAGAATAATCTTATATACAAAATATATATCTTTAACTACCTTTTTTCGATTTACGTTGCATCAACATGAAAGTATTGTTTCTCTCATTTTTTATATTGCTGAGTTAATCATTATCCATTGAGTTTGAGTTTGATTAAACTCTGGTCAAACGACCTTGCAAGGAACCAGGCTCGATGCAAGGCCGATATACTAAATCAGTCATAAAGGTAACATTTTCATTAAAATGCTCATATTTCTCAAACTTCAGAAAAAGGTTCTTATTATAATGAAACGTTAAATACAATAATATATTCCCATGAAAAATGCTCCACGAACATTACTTATCGTAAAATTAAAAATGTACGTCTTCGTAGAAACTTATAATCCTTATAATGGAATAAAAAAAATTGAAGGCGATTAAAGTGGCCTGCTATGGGCCCTTTCCTTGCAAGGCCCAAATGTTCCAGATGACCTAAACAAATCTACAATTTAGTAAATAGTGAGGTGGTACAATATATCCCTAGAACTAAGAATTAAGTATTAATATTTTCTTGATTCCTGAATGTAATATAAATCATTTGCGCCCTAGCAAGGTCAACTGTCAATTACAAGGAACCATATGCTTTTCCAGGAACACCGATATTTTAGCTAAAGCGATCATTATTTCTCCAGTGCCAAACCAAATACTTCCAAGAAAAAAAAAGAACAGTCTATTTAGTAAAAAACATACGTTTTGCTGTGAGCTCTTGTAATAATTTTAAAGTCGACGACAAGTCAATAAAGCGAGGGACCGTATTGACAGAAAACGAGCGAAAAAGAACCGTCGCCGCGTGTGTGTTCTCGACTTCGCTGATTGTTT